AGGCAAATACACAGCCATAAATTTGAGACTTGTTACTTTTTAAATATTAAATACAAAATCTTTTACAATTGTTTAATTAAATCGAATCATTATTATCATATCACATCAGATATTCATTGAGTGAAGAAGATTTAAGTCATGCTTACTGATCCAAATCTTAATTTTACAGTTACACTAACTTTGAATATAGATATGCTAAAGTGCACTTCACCTAAATTACAAAATTAAGGTGAGAAATGGATATAGAAGGGTGGACCCTATTTTAGATAATGTAGGTCCGATGACCAAATTTTTTATGTTTATCTTTTTATTTTATGTATATATTTTAGGTGAAGTGAATCCATAGTAAACACAAGGCACAATCGAACAAAAGTCTGTGTTTGCTCCATGTAAAAAAGATTGTCGATTTTCTAGGTTTATTCCCAGATAATAAGAGTGGGGTAACCAAACAGAAGACGAAGCGAAACAGAGATGAAAAGGGGAAAAAACCGAAGATATTTAATGTTGAGCTAAGTTTCTAAGCATCAACGATGTCTTGATCAATTTCAGCGGAAGCATAAACAAGCACGGGTTGTTCTTGTCTTCCAAGCTCGCATGTTCCATCTATGGCATTGTTCTTCCCCAGTGCCTTTAACGCCAAATGCGCCGCCTTCTGCCCCGATATCATCATCGCTCCAAACGTTGGACCCTGTCACAACAAATCATTCCACATGTTCATGAATCCCTCTTTTCAATCACGAGGCCAAAAAAGCTTTCTTTTAATTTGTTCTTTAATTCACTGATTATATATATATATATATATATAGATATATGATCGTACCATTCTTGGGGCTCCGTCAATCTCTGCAACTTCCATGCCGGTGACAATCATTCCGGGCACGACCTCCCTGGTCAATCGAACAATAGCATCCTCGGCAGCATTCATGTCCAGAGCCTTCATTCCTGGGACGCTGTCGATCATCCCTATGCTCTTCAATCTCTTCACTCCCGTCGCTCCGAACGGCCCGTCGTGCCCGCACGAGCTTACCACTACCTTCGCCTCCATCACGTTAGGGTCCATGCACGACTGAGTGTCGTGGTTCATCGACACCAGCGCCCAGTTCGTCACCACCCCTGCCACCTTCCCCTCCTTCACGATCAAATCCTCCGCCGCCACCGCGTTGAACAGCTTCACGTTCTGCCGTGACAGAAGCTTGCTCATGATAGTCGACGTGAAAAGGGCCGCGTGTTTGATGACCACGTAGTCCTCAGCCTCGTCGTACTCCACGCCGAGCTCGTCCAGGAACTGGTGGGCCGGCTTTCGGACCACCATGGCCGAGAAGAGCTGCCCACCGAGCCACGCGCCGCCGCCAGGGCTGACGGATTGTTCGATGATGGCCACTTGTACTGAGGGATTCTTGCTGAGCTCATAGGCGCAGGAGAGGCCGGCAGAGCCGGCTCCGACCACGATGACGTCGGTGTCGGCGTAGGTGATCATGTCGGTCATGTAACGGCGTGTCATTTCCCGGGAGACAATGGATTCTTTGATGGGCTGGAAGGTGAACGAATTGAGGTCGTAGGAGGGAGAGTTTAGGGACATTGAGATGGAGGATTTGACAGGCGTGAAGCGAGAAGAAACAGATGAAGGTATCTTACTGTGGAAGAAAGAAGATTTGGGGTTGGAAGAGATGGAGGAGGTTAGGGTTGCAGTGGCCATGGCAGCCATACTGTGATTTGGTGTTGAAATGAATTGAAGAAGAAGAAGAAGAAGAAGAAGGAAGAGATTGATATTGCGAAGTGAATAAGAAGGAAGGGGTTTATAAACAGAACGAGCGAGACCTTTCTGGGAAGACAAGAAGGAAATATCTGAATGAAAAATCTGAGGTGAATAGCTATGAGAAGGCGGAGATAGAGTTTGAACGGTGGAGAAAGGTGGGGTTTTCGCTATCAGGGGTAGTGGAGATATTATATCAGATATGGGATATCATATCAGCTTTTTCCAAAAGAAAAAAGCAGGTTCACCCCACCAAGCAAAAAGCAGTGAAAGGAAGGCGAAGAAAAAGGAGATGAGATGTACAGTAGTACCACATAAGTACAAATGAATCAGGTGATATTAGTGATATGCCATTTGTAAGTCACCCAGATTTATAAGATATTTATCTCTGTCATCATCTTTTGGTAAGGAATTCATCTTCATAATGTTTTAGGATTATGCCTGTGATTTCCACTTTGGGTGTCTACAGCTATCAGCCACAAAGAGCACGTCACAATCTGAGCAATGTATAGTAGATTAATAGGTGAATTCATTTTAATTGACTAGTTTCTAAGTTTCCGTAGATTGCATGAAATGGATAACACCCGTAAAATTTTTAGGTTAAGCTTTATATAACCACTTAAAAATATTATAAGATTTAAAAGACCCCGGGTTTCAGCTAGACTCTTACTCCCAAAAAGTATGATGGATCTCTAAAATAATGGGCTTCAACATATAAGTCATAAATGTAAACGCAAATGTCCTAGTAGCGATGCCAAAAGATCATCTAAGAATACACTTTCAAATAGCGCTGCAAAGTTATGTTTTCTTGCCAAATGGGCTTAACGCGACACCCATTCCCAACTATTATGTGTATAGCTTGAGTGGACAAATTGGGCCTATTGGGATATGGGCCAATTTACACAATAGTAAATCACCAACCTAAGATCATATAGGGGCTCCAAGGGCGTGTTTAGTAATGTTGTTTTCATCAGCTATCTCGAGAAGTCAACCAATATTAACGTTGACCAAGTCCAGGCACATGCACGCTTCTGGTGTCCGGTGTCATTCTCCAATAATTATAAGAACTAATGACTAGACACCATTGTGGAAAGCCACATTGCCATGTGCAAATGCTCAAAGGAATAGGGGCACAGTGCTGATGGATCCATAACCCATTCCATTCATCATAACGTAAAAGACTGCTCGAACGGACTCGAATATAGCATTAGTTTAAGGTAGAGTGACAGGACAAGAAACATGCACGCTGGCTAATGGCATATATGTATTGTTTTAAGCTTAAAAATAAAATGAAATGATTAAGTTGAATTGGTCATGGGATGCAGTGTACTCGAGGCCATGTGATAAAGTCTTGCACTCCTCGTAGATTGAATGAGACATATTTAATCTTAGACTTATCACATGGAGTGTGCAGTGAAGAAAAGCTAAAAAAAACGCTGATCTATATTTTCCATTAATTAGGGTTCGTGGCTAAAAGTGTTGGGGATGTTGGTTGGTCGGTCATCTTCTTAAACTTTATAAGACCATTAACCCCCATAAGCTTTGCTTTATTTGTTTCCTCAATCACCTCGATGGTTGGCAAACATCTTCTTCTTGGAAGGAGTGTCATAAATGGTGTCCTCCGCTAATGGCTCCGTCAATGTAAAAGGTAACGCTGTTTGTCGAGCTCGCATTCACGGTGATCAAGAAGACTGGATAAAAAAATTTTCTAAATACCTTTATTATTATTTCAGTATTGTTGTAGAATTTTTGGGTATTCTTGAAGGGTTCAATTTTTGTTAAAATCAACCTCTTTATAAAACCATCATAAAAATCAAAGATCTTAGAGATACTAGATTATTACATTTAACTATATTTTAGAGAAGTCCACAAACTAGCTCGTAGATCCAACTGTACTTAATAATATAGATATTAAAATTTTAAATGAATTATTTTAAAACGTAGAAACCTTTTGAATTCTGACTAAATTTAATTGTTATCTTTCACATGATTTTCCCCTGGTCTTTTTTATTAAAGAAGAAAGTATCGTATTACTCTCAAAAAGCAGCGTAACCCCCCGATAGATCTATAAAGCAAATACAATTTTACTTTCTCCAATGCAAGTACATTAATTCAGTGAAGAATTCACCATTGTTGCCATGACTTTGTTAGTTTATTAGTGAAATGATACCTAAAGATTTTATTAAAAATAATGTCAAACCAAGAGTTTTTAAAGATTTTAATACTAAAACATGAAATAAGATATACTGAATCTAGAAATTTTAATTGTGAAAAAATTATAATTTAATATTAATATTTTATTAGTTCTTTATTTATAATTCTCCCTATTTTTTTATATATTCTATTCAACCCCAACCTTTCAAGATATATATAATTTAATTATCTATTATTAAATTCGATCTAAATAAAATAGTATATAGTAATACTATAATATAATGATTGGAGTAAGAAGGCTGGGCGGACAGCGGAATGCAGCTGTCAAGAATTTTGAATTCGAAAACCAGAAGGATCACACGTCTGCGTTTTTCCTGTACCTCCATTTCAACCTTATTTAATTCATACCGTTTATTTAAATTAATTTTTTTAATATTTTTAATATTACATTTATTAAAATACAAAATATAAAAAATTATAATATTAAACTCGTATTATTTAGAGTACATTTAAATAATTAATTTATAAAATTTATAATTTTTTAATATCAAATAAGATTATCTAAATTATACTTGAATTGTATAAAATCTATCTATATAATCAAATTATAAAATTATAAATTTTTTTAATATTAATTGGATTGTTAGATTAAATTGACCAAATTGATTATAAACAGATATATTAAATTTTTTATATTTTTATATTTTTTATATTAATAAATATAATATTAAAAATATTTAAAAATTTAATTTAAATAAACAATAAGGATTAAATAAAGTTGAAATGAAAAGTTATGATTGTTCTTGACGAGCACAGAATGTAATTCCAAGGATCACACTCCCACGTTGTTTCCATGTAACCTAATAGACTTACAGACCCCACAGGGCCACCCCCCTCACTCCCCCTTTATTTTAATCCCCATTTCCCATTATAACCCTTTTCCAATCCTCAAAACCCCCCCCCCCCAACCCACAGGCAGATATTTTATTGATTTTAGCGTCGATACGCGAGCTTGGGTCCAACAAGAAACTGGGGAACAATGGCATATGACATTACAAGATTACAACTGGATGCTCTAAATTATTTTCAAATAATCCCCCCCCCCCCAATTTATTCTACACCTCTCTCTCTCTTTCAGTCACAGATCTAATCCCTTTCACTCCAAAATCTTCCCTCATCCGCCCGCCATGGACACCCCTTCAAGCCCAGTTTCTGCATCACTATCCATGATCCTTCTCTTTGCAGCTCTCATGGCCATGGCGGCTGCATCCCAAGCAGGCATCTCCAAAGGATCCTTCGAAGACAACTTCAGCATAATGTGGTCCAAGGAACACTTCACCACCTCCGAAGATGGCCAGATCTGGTATCTCTCTCTCGACAAAGAAACAGGTAACTCATCAGCTCAACGTGTCATTCAGGGTGGTTTACCTTATTTATGAAGGTCAATTGTTTGATCAATGCACCAAGTTCAAACCTTGTCGATGTAACTTTTTCGGTGAATAGGATGCGGGTTCCAAACGAAACAACGCTACAGATTTGGATGGTTCAGCATGAAGCTGAAGCTAGTTGGAGGCGATTCTGCTGGTGTGGTGACAGCTTATTATGTAAGTCATTCAAATTCAAGAATGTACCAAAATACTACCTTTCTCATGTGGGAGATCATGAATTGAATTGAAATTGATGCAGATGTGCAGCGAGAATGGAGCAGGGCCAGAAAGAGACGAGATTGATTTTGAGTTCTTAGGAAACAGGACAGGGCAGCCTTACTTGATTCAGACAAACGTGTACAAGAATGGAACTGGAGGCCGTGAGATGAGGCACATGCTCTGGTTCGACCCCACCGAGGACTACCACACTTACTCTGTTCTATGGAACGATCACCAGCTCGTGTAAGTTCCCTTTCTCCTCATTGTCCCCATTTTCCAATCAAGAAACTCAGTTCCATGAGAACACATCAGGTGATTGTGGGATTTGGGGAAGGCAGGTTTTTTGTGGACAGAGTTCCGCTGAGAGTGTACAAGAACAATGGGAAGCCAAACAGCTTCTTCCCGAACGAGAAACCGATGTTTCTGTTCTCGAGCATATGGAATGCAGATGACTGGGCGACGAGAGGAGGGCTGGAGAAGACGAACTGGAAGCTAGCACCGTTCGTGTCATCGTACAAAGATTTCAGTGTGGATGCTTGTCAATGGGAGGATCCATACCCAGATTGTGTGTCCACCACTACCAAGAACTGGTGGGATCAGTACAATGCTTGGCACCTTTCTGATGATCAGAAGAAGGACTATGCCTGGGTTCAGAGAAATATGGTTATTTATGATTATTGCAACGATTCTGAACGATATCCTACTTTGCCCGAGGAGTGCTCTCTCAGCCCTTGGGATTAAATTCAATTCTTCTCTATTCTTTATTTTTCCCACATCCCCATTTTGTCTTCAAATTGTATGCTGTGAAATAATGTCAAGTATTGTTTTAGCATTTCATTGATTTAATTGATTCACTTACAGTATACAGAATATTGTTTACAATAAAGCATATAGTTTACTTAAGTTTAAAGAACCTAATGTTGTTAAGATAACTAGTTAAATACTTTAATGATCTGCTTCAAGTATAAGGTACGCTGCAGAATTCTATGAATGTTTGACAACGAAGCTTAACAAATTTATGTTAACTAAAAAAACTTTCCAAATAATTTGATTCAATTTATGTTGACAAAGCTTTATTTTATAATTTTAACTCAATTTTCAGATTGGCAATGCTTGATGTGTTAGTTGGGGATGTAATTATTGTAGGCACTGTGAACACTTATTTTTATTTTGACTAACATCATTATTAATTCACATTATTAAAAATTCACTATAATAGAAAAAGCTTTTTACAGTAAATAAAAATGACTTTTTATATCATTCACAAGACAATGTTATAAACAATTAATGTTTTAAAAAAATAAATGATTCCCTCACTTTTTACATATCGATATAACTGATATAGAAAGTGAGTTTTTTACATTAATTATGGTTGTAACCAATGTAAAAAAATAATTTTATATATATATATAATATTTGTATATATTTTTTCATCCTTATACACAAATATAACCAGCTAGATAGTATAAATCATATAAAATTTTCATCCAAACAACACAATCAATTTTAATTATCCAAAATTATTAACTATCCAATATAATTCATTTAAAGTTTTCAACAATTAAAATTGTTACAATTAACTATCCAAAAATATACATAAGGTATCCAAGATTTGTCTTAAACTAAAAAACTCATTAAAATTATCTAAAACTATCTGAACTCATAGAATCTCCATAAAGTATGTTGCCTAAGGTATGTCGATGGGGTAATGTATGCAACCAAAATAAGTAGATTTCTAGAATCAAGGTCATCTGGTTCAAGGTATTTCTACAACCAAAACAATAAACTTATTACTATATTAAGAGCACGATATCCACCACGGGCATACCTTATCCTTAATCAAGGGAGAATCATCATCAAACTAGTATCTTGTTTCTCAAATAATGAACAAAATAAGAATTTATATCTAATCCAATTTGAGATAACAGTGAGAATCCATTCACAGCATCAAACACTTGATTTTTAAAGTCTGATTAGTGATTAATCAAAAAAAATTTAAATATTAGCAGGAAATCAAACAGGTTGCATATATAAATAAGTTTAGTTCCACATCGCCTCAAAATAGATAATAGATAATTATTAGACCTTGATTTAATTAAGTTTTCAATTGGTCACAAAGCAAGGTGGACATATATATATATATATATATATATTTGGCAACATAGTGAAAAAAAAAAAAAGAAACTTAGGTAAAGAAAGAAGTGGTGTGTTAGGTTTGGGTTAGCTTTGACTCTCTTGATGAAACACCATACAAAAGAAATGCAATGTGACAATAACATGATCAACATAAAGTCCAGTGCAAAATATACCAGGAGGGCAATATTTTTATATTTGTACAAGTTGACTTAAGATTTAATGTTTAACTTGTAAAATTTTTGTCTAAATTATAATTTAGAATTTTTACATATCACTTATTTAGCCTCTAAACCCTCAAACATTATAAAAATCTACCCATTTAGTCTAAGGTTTCGAATTTAACCTCCATATCATCATAATTATTGAGAAAACAATCTAAATAACATCTATTTAACTTCAAAATCACCATAAAATTCCTACCCAATAGTTTGGTATCCTTAAAAACAAAAACCCTAACCATAAACTCTAAAAAAAACTAATTTAAAGAAGAGATTAGAGGGTGGGAATGAAATTAGACAAACTTACCTTAATGACTCAAGCCTAAGAAAAATGCTTAGAATCAATGCCTCTACCAAACTAATAGATGGAATTAATTTTAAAGAAATTGATGATGGAGTTTTGAGAAGATGGTTGGAATAGGTGGGGAGGATTAACATTGCTAAAGATATGTGATTTCGAGCTAGAAAAATAGAGGAAATTGTAGAGAAAATCCCATTGATGAGAAAAAAATTGTAAAATATAACATTCTTGTAAGAGGAGAAAGATGATGTAAAAATTTAAAAAGTTTTTTATTTCGGTTTCTTAAGTAACCACCTTGTTTTTTTAATTGTTTGCCTAATGAAAAAAATTCCTTGTAAAAAGTTAAATTTGTACCAGTGATTAGAATTTTTTGACAAAAAAATTGTGTTTTATTTTATTATATTATATTAAACTAAGGGGTCCTTACTATGCGGAAGATTCTGCTGCCTAATTTCTTCGAAGTTTTGTATCGTCCAACAATGGGCATCTGCTGATAGAACTTTGATTTCGGTGCGTGTGTGTCGTTTTAATTGGTTTATAGTTTCAACTTTCAACACTAAGATCCGAGCATGGTTAACATATAATCACTATTACAGAGTAACTTTTTTACATCGTCTTTTAACATCAATTATTTAAAAAAACCATAGCAAAAAAATGGGGTAAAATTGTAATTATATGCAAAAGTTTTTACATTGATTTTGTGAAAAACCGATAGGAAAACATGAAAAAATCACACTTAAATCCCATAAAAAAAATTTAATTATTAAGAGATTTCATAAAATATAAAAAATATTTTTAAATTTCAATTTTTAGACATTTATAACTTGACAAAAGATATTTATAATTGGGCGAATAAAAATGACAATTCATATATGAGTTTAATATTAAGTTGTCATTTTCATTTGTCCAATTGTCTTTTTCCTCTGCTCAATTATAAATACACAAGATTTAAAATTTGATAATATTTTATACATGTTATGAGATCTTTTAATAATTTAATTTGCCCTGGGAGACTTAGGTGAAAATTTTCCATATGTTTTCATATTAATTGCTTCTACAACCAACGTGAAAACTTGAAATCATGTCAGCTTTACATCAAATTTTTATAAAAACTAATATGGTTTCATTTTAAATTTTGAAACTTAAAAGATACGTTTTTGATAGTTTCTTCCTTTAGTTTCAATTTTCTCTCCATTTGACAATCTTTCTTTTAAACCCGAAATCGAAAAAGCTTCCTCCTTTGTTGTTGCCCATGATGCAGTCCCCTTTTGGTGTCTTAGGATAGGATATTGTTACCATTTGCAAAAAGAATGTGTTTCAATCATATATAACGAAATTAGTAGATAGTTGGCTTGGATTTTATAGTTTTGCCTGCCTTCATTCCAACTCTGTTATTCTTCATGTACATTTGACTATGGCTCTGTGTCACTCATTTAGTGCCAGTGTAATCTCTTAGTGCCTGTTTGGTTAGGCAAGTAATCGATTTTTTTGCTAAAAAAATTGATTAACTAAAAAAATATTCAAACACCACCTTTTGCCAATAAGCGATTATCAGTGTTAAAACCAACTTTTTTTGAAAGCTGCATTGGCGAGCATCTGGGGAAAAGCTGATCAAAGACATTGGGAAAATTATAATAACAGGGAAGTATTGAGCAAAGACAATCATATTGTCCACGTGTACTTAGATAAAGCAAAGATAAATGGGTTGGGTTGGGTTGGGTACATAACCAAAGAGGATTGGAATTATACACTACAAAATAATAATCCAACGGCTCAGATTAGCATTTTGTTAATCCTGTATACGACGACACGCGTTAAAACTTGAAAGTTTTGTCGAGGGTAATTTTGTCAATTCATTTTTGATAGAGGGTTGAAAATTTCTATCAAGATCTGGACCTGTCGTTTAATTTAACGATTGCCATCAAGATTCGCACTGCTTAAACGACATCATTCGGTCGTAGGTGCGATAGGGTTTAGGTTAGGGATTCGTCGAATCGATCACTTACACTGCAAGTTTATCATCGGGAATTAGAGCCATCGACGATCGCAATGGTCTGCGAGAAGTGTAAGTTCCTCGCCTTTCGTTGTAATTTGTAGTTCCACTGGAATTTTTTTTGGGGAAATTTTCTGAAAATCTGAGTGGCAAAGGAGCCACTGGTGCAGTTTTCTGTATTCTGATTATGATTTTTTTCTTTCAGGCGAGAAGAAATTATCGAAGGTGATAGTACCAGATAAGTGGAAAGAAGGCGCTAGCAATACTACTGAGGGCGGTGGCCGGAAGATCAACGAAAACAAGCTTCTCTCGAAGAAGAACAGGCACGTCAAAATTCAAGTTCATATTTTTATTTTTCCTTTCTTTTTCTTATTGGGTATGCTAAAGGGATTTAAGAAGCATGCTTTGACTCTTTGATCGATATCATTTGTAATGATCAGGTGAAAGATTCTACGTGATATATATGCAATTTTTTTAATGAAAATTAACTCCCTTGTTGTTTTGCTGTTCAACATGACCTTCCAGTTGTGTCTATCGATTCTTGCTATGACAGACGCTATTCTCGAACAAGTTCTGTCATAATTTTACAAAATTATACAGGCGGTGAATGTCACTTGTTATTGCGTATTATTCAATTATGCTTTATTTTATCAACTATATGTTGCAGACGTTGCGATTGTATCTCCTAGAGAGGGAACGATTAAGTTGTGGGCAAAATTGAAGTTATGACCCCTGCTTCTTTCTTCTCTCGTTTTCTCTTGGGATATTGTGATTTTACATATGCTCTTGTAATGCCTCTAACATCCAACATTCCAACGCACCAACTGTTTATATGCCACAACAATTTCTGTTTGTAGTTACTAGTCGAAGTACTAGTTTGCTGTGTCGTTGAAGTTTTATTTTATTTCAGGTGTCTAGAATCCCGCCCCCTTTTCTCCCAGGGTGGTCAGTCTTCTCTGACAAGTAAAATTGAATTTCTGATTGTTGCACATGAATACTTTTTATATATTGGTTACTGGTTCAAAATATTTTAAGGCCGTAGAAAAGACTAGTTTTGGCTGCTCATATTCCATTTCGTTTATAGAAGTCAATAGTTTACCAGTTTTACAAGTTGATGCTTACTGTAAGCTTAGTTAAAGTATGGACAGAGGACATGAAACATGACACAATCAAAATATTATTAATAAGGAGGGTTCAAAATTTATGAATTTGAGACTAACCAATCGCTTCTTATACTTCCATCTCATATTTAGATGTCAATAGTTTTATAGTTATTTTGTCGTCTAAAGTGTGTTTGCATGATGTGAAACGTGGCACCTTGGCTGCTTGGCAGAATGCTGAGGTGGTGGCATTCTCTCATTTTGTTTATGAATTGGTTAGGCATACATGTTTGGATCATAAATGTTGTGTTAATTTATTATTGCTTTGATTTGCTTGCAGATGGACCCCTTACGGAAACACTAAGTGCATTATCTGCAAGCAGCAGGTGCACCAGGATGCGAAGTATTGCCACACCTGTGCTTACTCTAAAGGTACAACTTGTTTTGGAGATGTTCTGAAACTAGACAGACGTTTTTGCTTTCCAGTAAGAATACTAAACTCGAGAGTTGTGTTGTGTTTCAGGAGTTTGTGCGATGTGTGGTAAACAAGTTCTTGACACCAAGCTTTACAAGCAAAGCAATGTATAGTGGACACCAGTCGTGTGCAAGATGCCACATCTTCTTTTAGGTGCTTAACAGCTTTGTTTTCTGGATAGTTGTCTAGATGATACTGATATCTTTGTAACGGAACCTGTAAAGAACAAAAGCAGCGCTTCGTAGTTAAATGTTGGATGGCTTCTGTGTAACCTGGAAGGCCGTGATTTGTGCCTTTTGTACCATCATTCTTTGTAATACAATCTATTTTCATGACAATATCAAGTGGCGGACCGCGATGCTTTTTCCTTTGGACGCACCAATGAGTACTGAGAGTATACTTACATAGTCTCTCTTGGTTAGGGTTCTTGGGAGATGCTTCTTCGTTCCTCTGCTCTTGCCAACAAGATATTGTTATGCTTGTCCTTGGCAAATCAATAAATGCTTTCTCAGTTTTTTTGTTATTTGATTTTTTTCCCCTTTTGATTGAGTTGTGCGAGTGAAGGTTACGAGTACAAAGGGGAAGGTGGAAGTGGTGATTTGATGCCCCTGATCTTGAATGTGGCATAGCTGATAGCAAACTCACCTGAAACTAAGTCCTAATAAGATGTTACATAAATTAGCGTTTGATCAGAGCATGTGAAGAAAGGATTCAATTGATATTTGAAGTAATTGCTTCCCGAACATCTAAGCCGAATATGTTTTTTTAAAGAAAATGTACTGAGCAGATAAAAGTATAATAATAAATTATAAATGCATACTTTAAAGAAAAATAGTAAATACTGGTATTTGAATTTTTTAAAATTATTAGAAATAATACTTTTTAAAGAATAGATAATTTTTATTTTAAAGATCATGAAGTATATAATAACATATTTCAAATTAAATAAATATTAGAATAAATTTATTTTGAGCTTTACGCAATAAAAAAGAAAGGAGAATAAAAAAAGTCACGAAAGAGTACATTTTAGCTAAATGATTTTATTTTATATATATTAACATGACCTTTTAATTAGTTTGGATAGCCATGATTTGATCAAATCCTTGCGCTGAAGGGTCAAGATTCTAGGGTTTGTGAAAACATCAGTATAAAATGAGTTCTTGAGTTGTGCTTCCGACTCATCTTTCTAACTCGCGGGAGGGCGAAGCTGCTAATCGCATCTCCTTTCCTTCAGTTTCTTAGCCCCGACCAACCATTTCTTTTACTTCAATACCTATCCTTTTCAGCTATTTTTCTCGTGTCGCTTAGTATTCTGATCTGATTTGTTTTGTACCCTGACCTTTGCACTTTTTATGCTCTCTCATTTTTCCAGTTATTCGAAAGAAAGTTATTTGGTAGAATCTAATTGCTCCTGGGTTAGTTGTCTCTCATCACGAATCCTTGGATTCACGGTGTGAGGGAAGGCTACATGTACCAAGGAAAGGGAGAAATCATTATAAAGTGCCCTTGTTCTTGAATGGCCATAGCGGCTGTAGCCAAATCAAACCGATCTAAGAAGCTAACTGGCCGGTTGTTGTGAGATCTTTCTTGGGTCTCTGTCGATAAATCTGCTTACCGAGCTTCTCACATTTTACTTTTCTTTTTCTTGTGACTGAACCTTGAGGTTGGTCTTATGATTATGAGAAGGGGAGAAGAGGGAAATGGCATATGATTTGGCTTTTTCAGAGACCCTTCTCTGATATCAAGCTTTTGATTTTTCAAAAGGGTCACCTTCCGTGCAACCTGCTTTGATTTTCCTGCAGATTGCGTCAACCGGTGCCTACAATTTATCTTTTCTTGAATTGCATTTCACCTAAATTTCTTCCTTTGGTTGTTTAGAAATCTCATACTTTGGCATTCAAACACTTCTCTGCCGAAGCTTAATCTTGCGAGTTATTGTTGTTTGGCATTTAATGTGTCATGAGCCATTCGTTTAGAAATTGCCCTTTCATGATGACTCGATGAGTGTGGACTCTTTCTGGATGCTAGTAAAGAAATGATGTTGGGAAAATGAGAACGAAATTATTGGCTGTGTAAAGTAAAATAGTAAATGAAATTCGTCAACTATTCTACAATGACTGAGACTCAACTCTAGGGAAGCTAACTGGCCGGCTGTTGTGAGATCTTTCTTGGGTCACTTGTCGATAAATCTGACTTACCGAGCTTCTCACATTTTACTTTTCTTTTTCTTGTGACTGAACCTTGAGGTTGGTCTATGATAATGAGAAGGGAGAAGAGGGAAATGGCATATGATTTGGCTTTTTCAGAGACCCTTCTCTAATATCAAAAGCTTTTATTTTTCAAAAGGGCCACCTTCCGTGCACCTGCTTTGATTTTCCTGCAGATTGCGTTCAACCGGTGCCTACATTTATCTTTTCTTGAATTATTTCACCTAAATTTCTTCCTTTGGTTGTTTAGAAATCTCATACTTTGGCATCCAAACACTTCTCTGCCGAAGCTTAATCTTGCGAGTTATTGTTGTTTGGCATTTAAGTGTGTCATGAGCCATGCGTTTAGAAATTGCCTTTCATAATGACTCGATGAGTGTGGACTCTTTCTGGATGCTAGTAAAGAAATGATGTTGGGAAAATGAGAACGAAATTATTGGCTGTGTAAAGTAAAATAGTAAATGAAATTCGTCAACTATTTACAATGACTGAGACTCACTCTAGGAGGAACAATCAAAGAAATTTGGTTGCACAAGACTAGAAGCGATGGTGGTATAAACAGTATAATATTGGAACCTGAGAATTATTTTCTTTTTTTTAATAAAAGGTTGCGGAAAAGGAAAAGCCAAGAGGCAAAATATAAGAAGTGTGAACTGTAAGACTTTCGATAGGTGTTTGATGATGGAGCCAATCTGGACTTGAGAATTATTGATGTCATGATGTTAACTCCAATCTTGATGGTACTATTTTTTGGGCCAACAATCTTGATGCTACTGAACCATATCACAAATGATTATTGTGAACCTCAAATGAACAGTAGCAGTTGTGTTACTTGGCTAGAGGAGGAAATACCAGAGTTTCAAAAGTTTGTGATGGATTTGTGACTTTTTGTACATTCTATGCGAGGGTCTCTTCTGCCACAACTACAAAGAATCCCGTTAAACAGGGAACTCTGCTTAGATGTATAATCGTCAGTGACAAAAATATGCACAGAATTCACAAATTGCAGTGCGCACCATTTGCAGACCAAAAAAACCCTTCATTGGGTAAGTTAGTTGATGATCAGAAGACCTCAAGGCCCTGAATGCGCTTCTGAGAAATCAGTAGGTAAGATGCTTCTGCTGCCAAAATACTGCTTGTATGTGTCTGAGTGCCAGCAATGGATCATTAATCTTATATAAACTAATCATCACATTAATTTTGTAAGCAGCACATGCTCCAGGACTCCGAGTATTGCCCTGCTTGTGCTTGCACTGAATCTGAAGGACGGTGACTAAAAAAATGAGATTTGCAAGTCGCAAATGGCAATCGCATTGATGATTTAAAAATAACAGCACCATTGTTTGTCAACTATAAGCAAAACCCAAGTTTCTCATCTCACATTGTAAGTTATAAATTTGTGAAATACTAAAAATAAATTTAAATTCTCCTGTTTCTTAAAAAGACTTGGTTTGATTTTTTAAAAATTTATATAATTAATATTATCCACTACCACCTTTTGGAATCCAAACTCACCCTCCCCCCCCCCCCAAAAAAAAACCACAAAAACAAAAACAAAATCCTTCGGTTCCTCGCAATGTTATCGACGCAACAGGGCACTTCGCCCAGGTCATCTGGCCCCATATGTATCTTCCCAAGTCTCCAAATTTCTCCAGATCCTTCGCCACTTCTCGCAACTGGAGGAACCCAAATCCAACAAAATCAACTCGCTTCCCAAATCTCTTCCACTCTCTTGCAGAGACGCAACTGGATGTCCCTCCTCCAGGGCCTCAATCTCTCCTCTAAACTTTAACCCATCTCTGTTCCTCCAAACTCCACAATATCCAAACTCAGCCCAAATCTCTGGTTCCATTCAAATCAAATCCGGCCTGATCTCATCCACTGTCATCATTCAAAACCCCTCTTGGATTCTTTGATTCGGGAATGCCCTGCACCTGCTATTTCAGAGAGTATGGTCAGACTGAGTAAAGGTAGAACTAGAGATTCATTATCTGTTGTGCTAAGTTTTGTTATTGAACGTTATTCGGAAAAGGATCTTTTCATGGAAGGGTTAGAGGTATTTAGGTCGATGAGGCTTCGTGGTTGTACTCCCACGGTTCGATCCTGCAATGCGCTTCTTGATGCTTTGCAGAGAGAGAACAAGATTCGGCTGGCTTGGTGTCTCTATGGTGCCTTGATTCGCTTTGGCTATAGACTTGGTCGCTCTACGTTGTCAATTGTTACTCAGATTTTGAGTAAAAATGGAAAGTTTGACACAATTGGCAGATTGTTAGACTCTGGGATTTATGATTCGAAAATTTATAATATTGTCATTGGTTGTTATAGTGATAAAGGAGACTTCAAGTCTGCATTTGATGCCTTGAATGAAATGAGTACTAGGAAACTTACCCCTGATTTTGTTACTTACACTTCAATCCTCGATGGAGCATGTAAACTTGATGATGTTGAAGTTGTGGAGAGGATAATCAATACAATGGTAGAGAAGGGACTTCTTCCCAAGTGCTCATCATCATTCAACTACGATTTAGTGGTTCAAAAACTGAGTGATATCGGCAAGACATTTGCCGCAGAAATGTTCTTTAGGGGGGCTTGTCAGGAGAATATTAGCTTGCAGGACCGTACTTATGGGTGTTTACTAGGAGCACTATCCAGGGAGAGGAGAATCAGGGAAGCAATTTCTGTATATAATATAACTTCTCAGAGAGGTCTTACTTTGGACCATGGCAATTATCAAGCACTGGCTAATTTTCTCTGTGAAGAAGATCAGTGTGTAGAAGTGGAAGGTTTTGAACTGTTGAAGGACATTGTAAGAAGAGGATTTCTTCCTTATTCATCAAACTTGTCCAAGTTTATGACATCTCTGTGTAATAAAGGTAGATGGAGAGAAGCAGAGGATTTGCTGGGTGCTCTTCTAGATAGAGGCATTGTGCCTGATTCTTGTTTCTGTAGCTTATTGATGAAGCACTACTGCAATAGCAGGCAAGTTGATTCAGCCATTGAACTGCATTGTAAGATAGAGCAGTTGAATGCGAGTTTGGATGTCACGGCTTATAATGTATTTCTCAATAGACTTTTTGTAGCGAGGAAGATTGAGGAAGCTGATAAAGTGTTTGACTACATGAGAAGACAGGATTTACTTAGCAGTGAGGGTTTTGTAATAATGATACGTGAGCTGTGTAAAGTGAAGGAACTTAGAAAGGCCATGAAACTGCATGATGAAATGTTGAAGATGGGGCTTAAACCAGATAAACCCAAGTATAAACGTTTGATATCTGGTTTTGCATGATTATCAGCTTCTAGCACATGTGAAGAAGTCAACCTGTGCATTTTTCAGAATATAATGTTGGGAATTTAGGGACTTGTATAGAAAGATCGATGGTTTGTATGAGGTGTCAATTTTCAGAAGTAGGAGGCAGTGAAGAGTTGCAGCTTCAGCTTTCTTGACTTCTTATATAATCATTATTGTCTGTCATGCGCAATCATTGACCATTTCTAATCATTGTTCTTGTTTTACTTGTTCCTCTATCACAAGAACAGCGTAACGGCGTCTCACAATAACATAGGTCAAAAAAAAAATAAAATAAATAACACCGTTTTATCATGCAAGATACGTTGCGCGAAGTTGTAGGCTTGTAGGGAAAAAAGAGGTTGAGTGTTTTCTTATTTATTTTGTCCAAAAAAGTAAATTATTTTACTCGACAATAAAAAATGACTGGACAAGAAAAAGTATTCACAGGTAAAAATGATTAATATAACTCTGAAAATGGTTTCCTGCTCATCTCTTGGATGAGCATGGAGTGCTCATTCAAGAGATAAGATGTGGACCATTCACATTTTAATTTAGACAATTCAAATTTAAAATATTATTTTATATTAATTTATTAAAATAAAAAGCTATAAAAGTTATAAAATAATTTTAATAAATTTTTTAATTTAATTTAGACTTAATTTAATATTAAATTTTTTATAATTGAATATTTTAAATTTTTTAAATGTATTCTATACAGTTAAAATATTATACCTGAATTGGTGGACTATATAAAGTTTATATAGATAATCAATATATATTAATTATAAAAATTTTAATATTAAATTAAACTCTTTAAATTAAATCTAGATCAAATAAAAAATTTATTAAAATTATTTTATAATTTTTTATTTTAATAAATTAATTAAAATAATATTTTAAATTTAATTTAGACGGTTTAAATCTCATTTTTTAAATGAGAATGCAGTGCTTATCCAAGAGTGAGCAGGAAACCGTTCCCACTCATATAATTTCATAATGTGCATCGTGTCGTGGTACTCCCTCACCCCAAAGAGCAGATTTTGTAGGGTTTTATACACACAATACACATCAACCATGTGGGGATGGTTCTACAGGGGGACATGTAGGGGTGCTCCCATCCCCGCCCCCGAAAAAAAGAAAAAATAAAATAAAATAAAAAATATTTTGTCAATTTCAACACAATTATTTATGATGATTCACCTCCAGACTCTGATAATTTTTTTGTTTTGGCGTGGGGGGCACCATGTCACAAAATTGTTTGATAGATTTTCTTTCTCATCCGTCACTGCCTTTAGAATGCAGGACTCGCTTTTAGCTGATCCACCTAAACTTAATTTTATTTTTGTACAGTTTCATCGTTGCCTTTTTATTTTTTTTAAAAAAAAATCATAAAAATACACACACATTAGTGCCCTACACGTAGAATCGAATGGTGCCCTACGAGTAGAATTGAATTGTAGATGCCTTATCCCAGTCCTCGTGCGCAGTGGGATTCAGTTTCAATGCTTATCACGGTGGTACTTATCCTAAAATAAATATCATGGTGCTTAGCATTAAAACACTGCTGTTTGATAGTATTTTTTTTTACTTTTTTTAAACCACAAATTTATTATTAATTTATTATAATAATAAATGATTATTATAAAATTATTATTTTAATATTTAATAAATTAATAAATATTAAGATGTTAAAATTAAACCTGAATAGTTTAAATAAAAATTTTAGTTTGAACATTGAAAATTATACTAAAAAAATAAAAAATAATTTGAATAATTTAAAATTGGAGTTGAGTCTAATAAAATGAACTAGTTTCTTACACTGTAATAAATTAATGTTTGAATTTTTATTGAAAAAATACTTATATTTAATTCCTGATTATGCCTTGAATGATATTATCTCTCATAGATAAAAAACTGTACAAAATTAGTAAAATAAAAAAAATATTTTTAGTTACAATTTTAATTATTTCAATACAATTTTGAATTGTTCAGATCAAAATTTATATATGAACTATTTAAATTAAATTTTAATGAATTAATCTGTTCAGATTTAATTTTAACATCTTAATATTTTATTTTTTTATTAAATATAAAAATAATAATTTGATAATATTTATTTATTATTATTATAATAAATTTGTGGTTAAAAAGGAGGGGGTTGGGAAAACACTGTCAAACGGCATTGTATTCGCGCCATGGTGCTCATATAAACCAATTCCTGTGTAGTGCAAGTATATTAAAGTTGTTGCGCCTTGCATGCATGATGAAAAGCTCCATGCCTTCGTAGGGCTTGCCTCTCTTCTTGGAAACAAATCGCTTCTCTAACGATGACCCCATTTCCCAAAATCCCATCTTTCCTGCTCTTCATCGCTATCTGCTCTCTCGTTGCCTTCAATGCTTCGTCCGAATCTGCCGACCATCGAGTGCGCGAGCTTCTTGCCCTTCAATCTAAATCGAAATCCGGTGTAATTCACCTCAACGATGAATCCGTCTCCCGATTCCTCACTTCCGTCGAAACCCCAAGACCCTACTGGGTCGTCGTCTTCTTCGACGCCATTCTACTCCACAACAATCCTGACCTCCGCCTCAAAGATATGCTCCGTGAATTTGAACTCGTCGCTTCCTCCTACATTGGCAACAGTCGACACCCTTCTTCCCTTTCACACGCGAAATTGTTCTTCTGCAAACTCGATTTCAGAGAATCCAAAGAGAGTTTCTCTCTCTTCGGCGTCGATGCCCTCCCTCACCTTCGTATCGTTGCCCCTTATCAAAGCCTTGAAGATTCATATCAGATTGATCAGGGAGATTGGTCCCGTCTCGCTGAATCCATGGCTGAATTCATTGAAATGAAGACCAACCTCGCCGTGGGTCCAATCCATCGACCCCCGATTATTTCCAGAAACAAATTGATACTAATCGGAATCGGATTCTTGATCTGGTTAGTGAAGAATATCATAGTGGGTCAGACAATTCTTCACGACCCGAGGGTTTGGTTAACAGGCGCTGTTTTGGTGTACTTCTTTAGCGTTTCGGGGGCGATGCACAACATCATAAGGAAGGTGCCGATGTTTTTGGTGGATCGAAAAGATAGGTCCAAGTTTACGGTATTCTACAGGGGACCAGGAATGCAGCTTGGGCTAGAAGGTTTTTGTGTAGGGTTCTTTTATACAATCGTGGGTCTGTTATTGGGGTATGTAACACAAGCACTAGTGAAGGTTAACAATGTGACGACGCAAAGGGTGGTTATGATCTTTGCGCTATTGTTCTGTTTTTGGGCAGTGAGGTGGGTGGTGTTCTTGAGCAACTGGAAGTCTGGTTATTCCGTTCATGGATATTGGCCTTCAAGTTGGCGTGGAGATTAGGGACGATCCAATAGTACTATTCCCTTTTGTTTCTTTGCCCGCAAAGTTTGAGAATTTTTTAGGTCATGTATTCTCAGTTCTCATTGTTTAACTGAGGACAGAATGCCTTAGATTACTTGGCACTTGAAAGGTAATAAACGGGAATGTTTAGTTTTCTCTGCATTTTTTCTGTTTGCAGGGCTTGAACTTGAGATCTTATATGATCAAATTTTAAAAGCCTCACCTTTCTATGAACGGTACACAATTTTTCTTGAATTTCAGTGCTTTTTAAAAAAGTCAAGACTACAGATAGTTTGAGCATTTTAAGGAAGAATTTTACTCTTATTTTTTATGTCACGCAATGCTTGGAACTGAATATGTGGAATTATAATTCTAGTCCTTATGAGATTAAGGGATTTTTGTAATGCTTTATGGTCTCAACCATAATGCAAGTGCATTCGGGACTTAGCTTTATAAACTAGTTATATGTGGTGTTGGATGAAAATTGTTATGCGTTCCAATCCTCTGGGTTCTGCTCATATCATTAGTGGTTTTCAAAGTCTGATACAACTATAGGAGACACCTTCAATCGATAATCCCATTGGGTGTGTGAGTGAGACTCAGTATTTTCTCTATTCACAAAGTGTATCACTCTGTGGCTTGAATCTCTGGCACTGTAAATATTTCTACGTTTGAAGCAGAAGCAAACAAATCAAGTTAGTGAGCATACATTGATTGGCCTTGCCAGAAAGAAAACACTTTATATGAATTTATGCTTCACTTCCTTCTTGAAAATCACTAATAAACTGCTCTGAAACTGAGCATGTTTGCATTGAAATTTATTAATGAATCTATCAGATACAGATTCCACAATTTATCTTCACGTCCTTGCTGAAAACCACTAATGAACTGCGCTGAAACTGAACATGTTTACATTGAAATTTACTAATGAATCTATCAGATTTTGATTCCGCAATTTCTTGCAGCATATGAAAGTTGAAACTTATCGTGGTATGGTCCGAATGCACAACTTGGCTCTGCATTTAATATTGGCATGTTGCTGAATTTCCAGTTTTTTTCTTAGTGACTACATCCATTTCCATACCGTCAAAGCTGATGAACATCACACATAAGCATGCATTCCTAGTCCTTTATTGGTTCTGCTTTTCAAGTGTGACTCACTGTTTCCTTTTTTTGAGAAAAAGGAATATATTCCAAATGTACTTTCGGCTCTCAGAAATGCAACAAGAAGCGTTTCCTTCACGCCCAACGCAGCCCCCCACGATCGTCTTTTCTCTTCTCATTTATTAAAATAGTGTTTGCTTTACTTCTTTCCCAATGCCTAAGTCTACACTTAATTATATATCCCCAGAAACATTTATTAAAATAGTGATTGCTTTACTTCTATTTTTTATATTAAAGATTTTGCCTCCTTATTATTAAAAAAGACGTGGTCTTTGTGTCCCTTAAAATAAAAATATTGAAGTACAGCTTTGTTATCACAAAAATGAAAAATCAGGTCTTGATGCTAAATAGACTTTGCTAAGCAAACTTCAACTTTTTTCACTCTTTTATCGCAGCAACTTAGCGTATAAACACAGCAGAGTGGATTCCCCTGCCATTGAGGCAATCAAGTTACCCTTTTACCCTAGGTCTCCATAGAAGCCATGCTCTGCTCAGCAACAAAACGGTGGCAAATTGGACATCATGTGCCAAATCAACAGCAGTTGCAGCGTCATCTTTTTCACTTTCAGCTTACTTCCCATATGGGTATTTCCCTTTATCAAAAAGTCCACCACCTTGTAAATTTCTGGGTTTGGATATATAGAGAGAGGATCCATAAGGGATCACATCTAGCACTTGCAAGTCTTAGCTGTGTGTGGAAGGCAGGGAACTAAGGAACAAAAATGGAGGAACCTGCTGAAATGGTGGGAAGGGCATTTGTGGATCATTACTACCACTTGTTTGATAACGATAGGGCTTCACTATCTTCTCTGTATAGGGACACCTCTTTGATGACCTTTGAGGGACAGAGAATATGTGGGGTGAGTGAAATCTCTTCCAAGCTTACCCAGCTTCCATTTGATCAATGCCGGCACGTGATCAGCACCATTGATTCTCAGCCATCGGCGCCGGCGGGAGGCGGCGTTGTTGTCTTTGTCAGTGGCAGCCTCCAGTTGGCGGGAGAGGAGCATCATCTCAGGTTTAGCCAGGTCGTCTTCTCTTCTCCTTCTCTTTCAATTCTGCTACATTTGCTTCCTGTGTTTCATTACAGAGATGAAGCATTATATACTTCTGAAATGGAGTTAGTTATATCATGATCAACATTATATATCTTTCATCATATAGATGCTTCAAGTTAAACTGACATGAAGGTTGGGAAATTGTGGTGGCTACAGATGTTTCACTTGATTCCAGCAGCAGAATGCTTCTATGTGCAGAATGACATATTTCGTCTCAACTATGGCTAATTTGAGTTTGACTCATTGACAGCACCAGGTGCTTCTGCTTTTGTTGCTTAATTCGTGTGATTAAAATTGTTGGTTGTTCATTTCAGAGTTTGGGAATGAAGGAATACACTGTGCTTTAATTTTCTCTCTGTATGATGCCTTCGTGGGGAAGTGACCAAAAAGCCTGGCGCTTCATATTCCCCACTACATGCATCGATCATTTCTCTTTTTAGCCATTGAAAAAGATTCTTCATTGCGTTGTCTCGTCATTGGGCTTCCTTGTTTTTGGAATCCTTTTTCACCAATGTTGTTAGGGCCTGTAACAAAAATGTGTTGTTTGGGTCAACACTTTGCATCAAAACCCATCCAAGGTTATATGATTCAACTTCAATAAGAGATTGCCTCCAATAAAATTGTCATATCTAGCATGTAATTATATCTTAAGTAGAATTATTTTTAATAAAAATATACTTGTAGGTAATTAAAAAAACTTCGAGAAAGTTGTATATTTTTTCTTTAAGTAAAATAAAACAAAAGTTTGTCTTTTCCTCCCTAGTCTATATTATTAGAATACGACACGATGGGGGGAAAAAAAAGAAAAAAATAGTGAATTAACATCAAAAAACATCTCACATATATTATTATCTTCTCAGTTATATATATTGGTGCGGCTGTAGAATATTTACTTTAAGCCAACGATCTCATGACCTAATGGCATAAGACTCATGATTGCTGATTAAAGGTTTTGGTTTTATTCAACCATTTCACTTGCTCTGTACGATCATAAAAGGAAAATTCGTTTTGGCGTTTTTAGTATACTGTTACATTTTAAATTATATACAACCTCTTTATTTCATAAATCATTTGGAAACATATTGTCAGTTTTAAAACTGAAAATTACTCCTTTAATTTCTGTTTCTAATTAGACCAACCACTGTGAGAGGGATGAATGAGCAATTAACGCGATATCTGATCCGCATATGACACTGACGAAGTAAAGAGTATGAAGTTTAAAATGTTGACATTATATTGAGTAATGAGTATTGATGATGATTAATTTATTTAAATATATTAATATTATTAAAAAAAATTACAAGTTGGAGGGCTGCTTCGCTTTCTTCACGTGGAATGTAACAAATGGTCCCCTGATTAACATAAAATAATTCCAAGTTGTGGATTTTGGATAAGCAAGGGTACGTGATTGCCACTTGCAAGACATTGATTGTAGTAATTAATGAACCTTTAAGATGTTTTAATTAGGATTGCTAATGACACGTGTGTGGCCATGGAGGCCTACTTCATTCCCCTTTTGAGAAAAGAGAACGAGAAATATGAGAAAAGCCAAATATAATGTACCAATATTTCTGTAGTGCGAAAAACAATATGCTCGCCGAGTTGATAGCTACACACACGCACCCCACACTTAGTCTAATAATCAAGACTAAGATTTATATATGCCGGGGATAGAAAAGACTTCTAATAAAATAAAATATAATATAATCATAGATCATATTGAAAACACTCCTTCAATAGTTGAACAGCCAGTGTCTCTCTCTTTTCTGGTAATGAATTATATATTATATATTAGTAATTAGTAATTACTATTAAAAAATAACTTTATCAAAAACATTTGGTTCAACTAATTAAAAGAGTTGAATTAATTTATTCTAGATTTTTAAATTTGAGTTATGAGATTTGTAATCATGTTAAATAAATATGTCAAATACAACTCTAAAAAATGAGAGCAATAGGTTGTAGTATGAAAATAAAAGTTAACAGGTTTGGTTGAATCGATAAATTGATAAACCAATAGACCAATGTTTTAATCAATTTAATAAAATATTTTATTTATAACTAGATTATAGTTCGAATATAATTTTCACCATTAATATTTGAATTAACATCTTAATTGGTTTAATGAATATTTTTAATATCATGATAGGTAGATCTTTCAATTTTTTCTCTCAACGCATAATAATATATATATATATATATATATATATATGAATGATAACGTTTGAAACTTTGCGCGTGTTTGTCGGATCAATATTCTGAGTACTGAGACGGGGATTATGGAATGCATGTGTCGCACATTGAATAAAATGAGATTTCAAATATCGCACATTGACAATTTCAACAGCTTGTTTGTCCAATGATTCGTCAAATTCAAGGTGCAGGAGGTGCTATTTATTATTATATCACTTTTAACTTTCTATATATACAAATACAATACTTCATCCTTCCTCTGATCCCATTTATTTAAAAAAAATATAGAAGTGTTAATTATTATACATATCATTAGTTTTTATCACAAGCTTTTCCCTTTAGTACTATATATTAAATGTTGGTATGCATTATTAAATATTCTCTTGGATTTCTTATTCATTTCTTTATAAATAGAAGTAAAGTTTGGAATTTGTTAAATTTCTAGCTAATAAGTTTTAATATTTTCCGGCAAAATATGTTAAAGATAAGATTAGATGAATATTTATTACAAAAGGATTGTCCTAATTAATGCATCAAACAACTTAAAAAAATTAAACCCTAAGACTCCAGCAAGTGCGGTGTTTTTTCCCTCATGATGTGCAGGTTCCATTTAAATATTATGAGATCCTTCATATCAATTGTCTAATAAAAACTTCAAAGTAATCTAATCAATTATTTACCATTAAGTGGTTTAATTTAATCTGATGCATTGTTTATACATTTGTTTATGTCTCATTTACCTTTAAGTGGTTTTTATATTTGCCATTTGTAATATTCGTGACGCCAAGGTTTGGTGTGATGTGAGATTCTTTGACACAATATCAATGGAGAAGCAGATAAAAAAAAAAATTTGAAAAAAGCTTTAACTGTGATCGATGAAGCAAAAATTTCTTTATTTTCTGCAAATTGGAATTCCCTGCTCCCACAATTTTTCACTTTAAAGAATTCAAAAAGTTTCTGATAAGAGCTCAAAAAGTTGTGGGCCAAAACAGCGGTTTCCAGAATTCACGTTCTGATTTTAATATGCAACCATCTCTCTCATTGAATGTGATTTTGATCCACTTCACCTAATAGTAATAATATACTTTCATTTTAAAAAAAATTCAAATAACAAAGTACATAAATATGTTAAAAGAATTAAAAATATTATATTATATAAACCTAAAAAAAATTCAACATTCATAATTTTAAAATATTACAATTTTCTATTTTATAAATATGTTAATTGGTACTAATTTACCAAGTAGGATAAAATCTAACTTTTTATACATATCCATACGCATATATTTTGGCAAATACAAAAAATACATACGCATAGGGAAAAATAAAAAAGAAACCAACAAGTCTTTGATTCAACAATTGGCAAGGAAAATTTTACTTTCTTAATTAAAAGTCTCAAGTTCATCTTTTAAAAATGCAACATTATTGGTGATAGAGTTTTTGTCTAAATTGACACAATTTGAATTAATCAGAGTTGTTGGGTTCAGACACCTGATAATCTATTACAAAAGAAAAGGAAAACAAGGGATGAACAATTACACTAGTGACATTCCCATGAACTTTCGTTCATGTTTTCTGCATTTTCTGTCTAGTGTTTCACCAAGTTTCACCAAAAATGCATGTTTGCCTCTATATAAATAAGCACCACATCATTCAAGCAACACACAACACTCCAATCCTCCTCCTCTTCTCTACTATGGCTTCTTCCCACCAATCTCTCCTTGACAAACCCAAAAGGAACATTTCCAGAACCATCTGCCTCTCTCTCTTTCTAGCTGCCATCATTGGCTTCTCAGCCCTTGTTTCTTCTTATCTCTTCACATCCTCTTCTCCCTTCTCCTTCTTCAACCTCTCCTACCCTCATCATCATCTCTGTGATCATGCCCTCCACAAATCATCATGCCTTGCCCACGTCTCTGAATTAGCCAAAGCTTCAACCTTTAGTACGATCAAGGACCAAAAATCCAACTTGATTCAATCCTTCCTTATGAAATCCGCCGCACAAATCAAAAATGCCATTGACACAACCAAAGCCATTAAGTATAGAATTAACAACCCAAAAGAGCAGCAAGCTCTGCTAGACTGTGAGGGCCTTCTAGGCTTGTCAGTTGACAGAGTTTGGGACTCAATGATGGCTCTCACAAAACAGACCATCAAATCCCACGAAGATGCTCACACATGGTTAAGTAGTGTTCTCACTAATCATATAACTTGCTTGGATGGGCTAGAAGGGTCTGCCAGAACCCTTATGGAGACTGAGCTGAATGACTTAGTGTCCAGAGCAAGGACCTCCCTAGCCATGCTTGTTCATGTTTCGCCTTCTAAGGCTGATGATCCTATTGATGTGCCACTCGATGGAGAATTTCCCTCATGGTTGACGAGCAAGGATAGGAAGCTTTTGGAAACTACTTCTGCAAAGGACATTAAGGCCAACGTTGTGGTGGCTAAGGATGGGAGTGGCAAGTTTAGGACTGTGAACGAGGCTGTGGCGTCGGCACCTGATAATGGTAAGACGAGGTATGTTATTTATGTTAAGAAGGGAATTTATAAAGAGAATGTTGAGATTGGATCCAAGAAGAAGAATGTGATGCTTGTGGGTGATGGTATGGATGCCACTATCATCACTGGAAGCTTGAATTTTGTCGACGGAACACCCACCTTCAGAACCGCCACCGTCGGTATGGATCCTAATTAAATCTTTTCTAATATCCACCACTTGATCTCCACAGTTTTAATGAGATTGAGATATTTGCTTTGAAGTGTATTCTATAATTATGCAATTTTGAAAGAAAAACTTAGTGGGGGTGCGGGGCTGCCTGGCTTGATGATATACACTGTAGAATATAGCGCGGTAGGTATAAAAGATAAATAGCAATACTCTATGAATTGTCTTCAAGAATTTTATATTCTAAATTATCTAGAATGCCTAAAAGGCAGATTCAGAGGGTCAAGGGAAACAAACACACTGATAGCAAATGTCCAATTGTTCACGGCTCTGTATTTGCAGGTACAACCAATCTAGTCAAATACATCTTTGTCTACTCACAGCTCAGGCTTATTATTACTTCTGTTGGCTCAAATAGATTTATTTACATGAATGAGAAAATATACAATGGATTCCGAAGGTTAAAAAACCAGCAAATGGAGACACAAACTAGGGACTTAATTAGGAATATCGGTCAAAACTTATTAAAATCTTGTCAATATGGTATTGCAGCTGCGGTCGGGGATGGATTCATAGCGCAAGACATATGGTTCCAAAACACGGCAGGTCCACAGAAGCACCAGGCGGTGGCTCTCCGCGTCGGAGCCGATCTCTCCGTCATCAACCGCTGCCGGGTCGACGCCTTCCAAGACACTCTCTACGCCCACTCCAACCGGCAATTCTACCGTGACTCCTTCATCACAGGCACTGTCGACTTCATCTTCGGCAATGCCGCAGTCGTATTCCAGAAGTGCAGCCTTGTGGCGCGAAAGCCCATGAATAACCAGAACAACATGATCACAGCTCAAGGACGCGAAGACCCGAACCAGAACACAGGGACTTCCATCCAGCAATGTAACCTAACACCGAGCTCCGATCTCAAGCCTGTCGTGGGTTCAGTCAAAACCTTTTTGGGTCGTCCGTGGAAAGAGTACTCTAGAACTGTGGTGATGCAGTCATTCCTGGACAGCCACATTGACTCAACAGGATGGGCTCCGTGGGACGACAAGCAATCGACATTGAAGAATTTGTATTATGGAGAGTACATGAACAAGGGACCCGGTGCTGGGACTGCGAAGAGAGTGAAATGGCCTGGGTATCACGTGATTACAAGTGCTTCTCAGGCCAGCAAATTTACCGTGGCTCAGCTCATTCAAGGTGGGACTTGGCTGAAGAACACAGGGGTGGCCTTCATTGAGGGACTCTAGATCCCGTGCCTCTTAGACCTTGGAGAGACTGTTTCTTTTCTGGGCTTCATTAAATATGCTAGTTTTAAGAAGTTGGTGCTGCATGAGGCATGAATTGATGTTATATATGAATTAATGGATGGCCATAAATATGTAGCGTATCATGTTTGGAAATAAGTATCATCTAATAAACTTATAACCCAAACATTTTGGTGTTCTCTTTTCTTTGTGAAAAGTCCAGGTGTTCGTCTAATTAATGGCCTTGCTTAATTGCTTTATGGTGGAAGCCCTGCACTAAGCTTGATAACTTGGATCCACTGGAGTTTCTTGAGCGCCTTCATATGTTTCCTTTTCACATAAACAAGAACCGTGGTTGCTTAATCATTTCCTCGTTCCGATTTTCTCGTTGTACTGTCCATCTTATCTTCAAGCTAATTACCATTTAAGTGGACTTTCCTGCTCTTGTGTCATCAACAACCCGATCTTAGTGAGCCATATATCATATGAAGGAAAAGGGCTCAAGATTTTGAATCTTCCTACTGATCGTTTGAAAGAAATTTAGAATATAAAATGAGCCATAGAATTAATAAATATGAAGGCAACAATTTAATGTGAAAAAAAAAACAACTCCCCTTCAATGTAAGCGAGAGCATAAAAAAATCATGATCATCCAGATTTCTGTTTGATCAAGAACACAAGCTGTGCCTGTGCTACACGTGCGAAATTTGAGTGTCTGTTGTCCTCATTACTGCTATTTCTAATATTTAAAAAGTCTCAACCCTTCATTTCATTTGCACCAAATGCGGGAACACTGTGAAACTCAAAAGGCTGATTAGACCTTTGAGATTCAAGAGTTGGGTGTTTCGAATCTCTGCGCAACAATTCATCGCAAGCGGACAAGAAATCGCTCTATCTAATCGCCTACTTGAGCGAAACTCCTCGATGTAGACTACTACAGCTAGCAAACATGGACTCCCCAGACTAGTTGAGACATAGTTAATAAGAGTTATTTTGGCAAGCTGTTTACGAAACAGTTTTCTATTTTTTAAAATAAAAAAATAAAATAATCTATTTAATAATGTATTTTTAAAAAATATTTTAAAAAATAAAATATTATTTTAAAATAAAAAAATAAAAATAACTTTTAGGTGTTTTAAGATTATTGTTTTAAAAAATAAAAGAAAATATTCTCAAAACATGTTTTAAAAAATATCAGTTTTCATAACAATAAAATAAAAATAGTTTTAAATAACCCTCTAAATTTCTATGATGTGAAACTGAATTATATATGCTGTACCAATCGCATAGGGGCATTTTTTCGTTCATTTACATCTAAAAAAAATTTGTTGGTCCTTTTCTGTTATTTTTTAAAATTTAAGTTTTAAATTTAAGGTCTTTTAGTATTATTTTGTTTTCCCCTGAAGTGGCCCTTCTTCATAATTTTCCCGCCACTAAACTATATCTCGTTATTTTGGCACAAGGTTGGCTAGGCTACCGATGGGCACAAACATATATTTTAGTAAGTTACCTTTTCAAGCAATAAAAAATCAGCTCAGATCTTCAGACAATTCAAATGCTGTACTAGTAACGAGATAGACAAAGACAATTGACAGCACTCTTTGTTAAAAAATTATAAAACTTCATAATTTACTATTTTTTAAATAAAAAAGACACGTGATGACAAATTTCTAGGGAGGGAATAAACTAAAAGTCTAAAACACAGTATTGTATATGGACCACACGACAAATACAATGTGCGTGGCAGCAAATCCTGGTTTCTTTTTTCACAAGGAGCACTAAGAACTAGAACGAACCTTAATATTTTTTGCCATAATATAAGGACCCTTGATCAATATAAATTAGATATGACAAGCTGGAGGGGGGTTTTGGTCTTTTGGATTAGCTCGTATAATTGCATATTGGAGCATCTTCATGATTGTGTTCCTCGCGTGTTCTAATTATAATTTTATTTTTATATATAGTGCCATATATGCATGTGACATTTGCTTTAATTTATTGATTTCTCCTTCGAAAATTATACTATATGCTATGACTCTCTTTTCCTTTCTTTTTTTTAATGGAAACAACTATGAATCTCTCTTCCAATTTGGCATTAATATTTGTTTGAATGATAGTTAAACGATAGAAGAAGAAATTAATGACAAATAAGTACTTAATAAATTTTTTTAAAAAAATTATAAATATCAATTTAAACAGTTATAATTTTAGAAATCTTAATTATAAATAAAACCTTTAAATTATAAATATAACTCTCAATTTACAATATTAAAATTCTTGTGTGCAAAATTTTTGTCAGGACTTAATTATTATTACCTATTTTGCTATTTTGAGACTTTACTATCTTTCTCCTATATTTTTATAGTGTGGAAAAGTATCTCTCAAGTTGCTAGTTCCACCTTAAACTAAGACTTATAATATATATAGATTAAAGTTAACTAATTTCATAGTTCTTACAAGAAGTGAAAATTGATACCTTATAGTGACTTTATAATTTTGCCGAAGGCATACATATAAATTTTAATTTACTTACAACAACTAATAATGAATTCATGTATATTTGTTATGGAGAGGTAAAACTTGGTAGAAGGTAGGGGCGAAACCAACCTTAATAATTAGGGGACCAACTTTTAGAAAATAAAAAAAAATTATAGTTTAAAAATATTAGAAACTGAATTATGTACAATTATATATACTTTTTAGAAAATTAAAATAAAATCATATAATATACTTATGTTATATCTAATTAGGATATATCGATCTAGGTACCATCCAAAAAAAAGCTAGTCTCAATTATAAAATACCTAATTAGTATGTCAAATGATACTCTATTTTTACTCCCTATAATTTTAATAGTTTTTTAAACTTGAACAAGACATGATGAGGTTCTCTTTAATTAATAAGGATATGAGTGAAATATCAAAATATTTTTTTAAAATAAAACAATCTAATAATTTTTCTTAATCTACATGAAAAAATGCTGAGAAGTGTATATAAAGGATGAAGGGAGTAAACTCTGTCTAAATCACAATATAATATATCTTCTAAACTCCCTCCAAAACAATTGATATTTGATAATTTTTATAATTATTTTTTCAACTACACCCTTACTTTATTTATTATTCTTTTTTAAAAAATTATGTATTAAAATTTTAATTAATATCATTAAGACACTTATATAAAATATTCAATGAGTGTATAACTAAAAAGATGTACAATTTTTTAAGAAATTAATACGAACAAATAGTAATTAAGGACCTCTGTGTGAAATTTTGTATCAATTAAGATTAATTATTGTAAAAACTTAAATGGATACTTATCAATTTAAATTAATTTTTTATTAACAAATATCCATTTAGGTTTTAATAATAACTAATTTTAAATTAACAACAGTTTATTCGAGTCTATTTTCTATTCATGTTTTGATAACTTGTCTTTAATTGATATAAATTTCATATAAAGGTCCTTGATTGCTATTTTTTTAATTAAGATCTTACTTAACTTTTTTTCTAAAAATGTGAAATAATTATTAATGTCACATATTATATCCTGGAGAAAAAAAAAATATATATATATATATATGTATGTATAATTTGTGTATATGTGTGCATAATATGGAAGATTATTTTAAGTGCAGTGTTACGTCTATGCCCGCTCCCCCTAATCCCACTCCCTCACGCTGCTCACACACAATCTCCACATGGCATACAAGGCAAGGGTACCTTGCGGAACATTTAGTCCCGCCCCCGGTATATGAAGTTTCTTTTCAACCTAATTTTTAATTTTTTTTAATATTAATCAAAGGAAGAATAGTAGAATACTGGTGGGGGACGCCAGCAGTCCCGCAGGCCTCCCTATAAATATGCCCTTCAAAGCGGCATATTAAAAAAACAAAAAGTTATTATTAAAAATAAAAATAATTATATAAAATAAAATAAGTTATTATTTATATTTTAATTTTAATAAAATAAAAATTGTTTATATACTAAAAGTTTTTTATTTTTATTTTATTTTTATCATTAAAATATTGAATATTCCCGTGCGATGCGCGAGTAATAAGTCAATCAAGTTGATATTTATTTTCCGTGCTCTTTTCAAAAAGATGACAAGCAAGTTTCGCCCGAGGTAAAGAGAAAGGAGAGGAGACAGCGAAAACTGTAATTTTTTTTATCGTGTGGAAAATGGGAAGTTGGTAGCTTTCGATCTTAAACCAAGACTTTTCAGTGTATATGGGGCGTACTACACGACAAACTCCTGACAACATAGTGTAATGGAAAAAGATTCTTTGGGAAAAAATATGAATGAATTTCCACAGGAGGCACGCTTATGTATGACAACATCATCAGTTCACCATACATACATAATTGTATGTCCGCCGAGACGGACCCACGAAACGCAATCGTAATCACGCGCTGTCGGATTAGCATCTTTGTTGTGCGTATTATTATATCTGATATAAATTATTTAAATATTATTATTCTCCTGTTTTTCAAATTAATTTTTTTATTTTCTGAAAAAAAAAACAGTAGTTATTAAATTATCATATTTTCTTTAAGGTGTGAATTTTTTAAAATGCTTTTGAAGAAAAAATATACTATGTACGTGGATATTTTTTTTTAGTTAAGAGTATCTAGCTCGGATTTAAGATGGGAGGAAATACTTGGTACCAACAAATCAAGTGTCTCCGATTATTTATTTATGAGGAAAACGATAAAATATATTATTCACATATCGTAATTATAATTAATTAATTATAGTTATAGATGAGTTGATTTTTTTAAACAAAAATTATTCTTCGGCAAACAAATCCTACATGGCCACAGAGTAGAGATCTACCTCTCTAAAGTACTTAGGGCGGACCAATCGATAATATAGCTTATTGAATCAATATTATCAACAAAATTAGTGATGTAGTCAGTACATGAATTCACTTATGTATAAATATATTCGTATGTAACCTCTCAATAATTTATTAAAAGGTTTTTGATAGTATCTTTCACAATGTTAATTAAAAGTATGATGGTTTTCAATTTGTCATAAATGGTCCAAATCTTTTGAATGTTCTAAACAGTGAGAGCAAAGCTTAGGTATCATTTAATTATTAGAAAGCAATAAAATATATTAAAAAATCTAACATAAAAATGAATTAAATTACTTCTCTTTCTTATAGTAAGTATGATAAAACTGATTAATATATATATAAAATGTATGAATCATCATACTCTTTAAAAATTTTATGAATCGTAATTTTTAACTCTATAAATTAAATTATTCATCTCCTTTATAAATGTAATTCACTATTCTTTTTAATCATCTCATTTTTACCCTTTCTTTTTTTCAACATGTCATATTCAATTTCTTTCTGGTAATCAAATGCAAACTTAATTTTCTTGAAGCTCTAAAGCTAAGAAAGTCATAATCCCTAGTGCAAAGACAAGAATTCAGCCTTAATGACTGGCCGGGATGTAATTAGCCAGGCTTTTTTATGTTCACAAAGCAGGCATTTTCCATCTTGTTTCATTGTCTCTGATGAGGCCTTCAACTTCAAGAAGCATGTCCAGCGTTACACAGCCCTCAACAGTCCCATTTTAGGCGTGTCATTATTTTCATCACTACCATTAATTCAACTTATGGTGACAAAACTCTTCCTATATTGACCAAACAATTCACAAAAATATATGAAAGTTTAATCTGGGTGTGCTATGATAGATTTAGATGGATAATTAATCTCTGCCTTGATTGTTCAGCAACATATTAAACTATAGCCTTTTCTTTGCCATGGAATGAATTATTTTCAAAAATTTTAATTAATAAAAAAAGTTCATTTCTCATCCTTCTTTTGGTGCCTCAAGATATTCCTATAGTCCATAATCATGAGACTAATTTTTTAAGAAATCTAAATCTTATTTCAAATGTCATCTCTTAATTTTAAAAGAAAAAATCAGAAGAGATTGAGTTACATTATAATTCCGTCCACCACTCGCCTAAACCTTCGCTTAGATATTCTCACTTTAGCACCATATGTCAACTAAAATAAGTATTTTAGACAACATTTTCGGAAAGATGGATATTTTACTTTGACTTCTCTTAAAGTAGATGTGGAAACCGCGGGCGAAATTTCTATAATTCATATCTCATTATAATTTTTATTTTTTTAAAAAAAAATCCATTGCGGCCTGGGAACTTGATATACTGTTACCATGCGCGAAAACTAATCCTAATCCTTACTGTATGATACTGTTATTATTAACATTAAATTCATCGGTATTTTAGGATGTTTTTGGCACTTCTATTTGACACTATTGCATATTTTAGGATCTGAATTTAAGAGTTTATAATAAACTGATTCAACTTCATCAACCAATTTTGAACCAAGCATCCTCAATTTTTATATAATCTCTCTAATTCTTATTGTAGGATACGTTTTAGGCGCATTCTTTGGTTTTTAATATGAAGTACATGGAAGATAATTTGTTACTATTTTTTAATTTTATTCCTATCATAAATTTAATTTTTGGATTAAGGTACAAAAATACCTACCAAATAATTGGTCAGGAGCATCCAGTAACTTAAAGAAAAAAAAATAAAAATACTTATAACATTATTAAAGTTGATGTAAAAGTGATCAAATTGTTAATTTTACCCTAATAATGTTAGTTTTCAATGTTAAATACTTTCTGTACTTGCCACGTGTTAATCTTTATTAATGTAGACTAAAAAAAGGGTAAAAATACCTATAATGTTACTGAAGTTGGTACAAAAATGATTAATCCATCAAATCCTTTAAATGTTGATTGTTTAGCTAACACCTAAATAGAAATTGTCTATTTTTTTGCTAACGTGAATAAAAAACATTCCCAAGTAAAATTCTATGAAAATTGATTGATTATTTTATGAATATCATGTGGCAAGATGTCCTTTTGATCAAACATCAAATTAAATCGTTCACTTTTTTGGCAATAGTGGTGAGAAATATTTGAGAATTTCGAACATATCATGAACAAAATTGTTTAAGGTTGTGAAAATATTTTTAAGGTAGGCAACGTAAAAAGTGTGATTAGTCTCTATATTTGATTGTATACAACATATCTTATTGTGTTAAATTTTGAGTTTTGCTGACAAGAAAATTGAGTGAAGTGGGAGGGAAGAAAAGGGGTGAGATATGTCAGCAAAAAAAAAATGAGATTTTGTAGAATATGTCATCGATCAACCTCTATAAAAATTAATTTAAGAATATTTTTTTTATCTATATCAGTAAAAAAATAATCAACTTTTGTTTAAATGTCAAATAAATAATTAAAATTTGAGAGATTTGATAAATTGGTCACGTTGGATCAACTTCAGTAATGTTATAAGTATTTTAGCATTTTTTGTTACTTTAGACTTCTAAGATATTTTTGAGTGATAATTTTATGGATATTTTTGTTCATTTTTTAATTTATATCAACAAAGACTAATACATAGCAAGCACAATCGGCATTTAACACCGGTAACTAACAACGTTATGACAAAGTTAATGATTTAATCACTTTTATACTAAATTTGATAATTTTATGAGTAATTTTTGTCATTTTTTCTAAACTATTGAATTCTTCTGATTAATAAGTTGAAGATATTTTTACACTTTAACTCTTAAATTGATAAATTACCATATGCTCTGTATATCTCTCCTTTTCTATTTTAGCAGGGGTATACAGTTGAATTTTTTTATTTTAAGATATATTTAATAAATTAATTGTTATGTTTTAGTTTCAATAAAATTATTGAAAAGATCTTACACTAGAATTTCAAGAGAGCAGGATCTCACGGCTTATTTTTTATTTCTATTTGTTGTTTCAACCAGCATCATTATTAATTATGATGAGCGGGTCGGGAAGGAAGTCTGGAAGCGACCCTTGCGCAGGACAAAGGCTAATACTTAAGAAATCACAAATTTCTACAACACTACACAATTTTACTAGAACTAGAACTTAGAATAGTTAAGATTTATCCAAAAAAAAGAATAGCTAAGATTTAAATTATAAACTCCCTCTTAGTTAATAGAATTAATTTTTTACTGTATTTAAAAAATAGTAGTTAATTTTATTATAATTTTAAAAAATATTTGAATTTTTAATTTTGTTATTTACTAAAATCAATAACAATGATAAAGTTTGCTTACAAATTACACCCTCCATTAAAAATGGAGGAAAAAAATTTGTATGATACAGTTTAAAAAAATTAACTATATTAATTATGCTTATGTTTGAGAATAAAATAATTGTATTATTTAATGGAGGAAAAAAATTTGTACGATACAGTTTAAAAAAATTAACTATATTAGTTATGCTTATGTTTGAGAATAAAATAATTGTATTACAATATTATTAATTATATTAATCAAGCTTTCATTAATCATTTTTTATAACTATGAATAATAAAATTATAAAAAATAATTTAAGAAGTTTGCAATAAATGTTTATTAAAAAATATGATTTTATTTATGTAAAAAAATAAGTTAAAAGTGATTGTTTTTCTTATAAATAAAAATGGATGGAGTATAACTTAATACAAAGGGATAATATTAAGACACCAATTAATTACTATATTTTCGCCTTATATTTAAAATTAAATAAAGTTTTTAAACCTTTGTCGTATAATTTGAAAATTACATACATTAAAGTCACTATCCCTGGTTTCAATGATCTTGTATTTTTTGTACTCCCCACGCAACCTGCAAGTTTGCTTCTTTATAAAAAGCAAGCAACACTCCCCTTCAGGAACATGCTCCTGCCCCAATTGCTGAATAATCCCCAATTCACCATGGCTGCCTCCCACCACCACCAGCCTCTCCTCCTCCACAAACCCAACAAATCAATTTCCAGAACCTTCTGCCTTCTAGCTGCCCTTATCAGCTCTGCTCTTGTTGCTTCTTATCTCTTCTCTCCCTCCTCCTTCGTCATCTTCCACCTCTCTCACCCTCACCGTATCTGCTACCATGCCCTTCACAAACAATCATGCTTGTCCCATCTCTCCGAATTTCCCGAACTTTCCATCTTTGCCTCAAAAGACCAAGAGTCCCACTTGCTCCATTCCTTCTTATTGAAAACCACCTCACAGATACAAACAACCATGGACTCAACCAAAGCCATCAAATACAGAATCAACGATCCAAAACAGCAACAATCTCTGCTTGTCTGTGAGAAACTTCTGGACTTGTCCCTTGATAGAGTTTGGGACTCGATGGTCTCTCTCACGGAAAAGACCATCAGATCCTACCAAGATGCCCACACATGGCTAAGCAGTGTCCTCACTAACCACATCACTTGCTTGGATGAGTTAGAAGGGTCAGCTCGATCTCTCATAGAGTCTGAGCTCAATGGCTTGGTCTCCAGAGCGAGAACCTCCCTAGCCATGCTTGTTCATGTTATGCCCTCTAACATCGATGCTATCGAAGAACCACTTAATGGGGAGCTTCCCTCATGGGTGACGAGCAAGGATCGGAAGCTTCTGGAAACTTCTGCTAGTGATATAAAGGCTAACGTTGTGGTGGCTAAGGATGGAAGTGGCAGGTTTAAAACAGTGAACGAGGCCGTGGCTTCAGCCCCAGATAAGAGTAAGACGAGGTATGTGATACATGTGAAGAAGGGAGTTTATAAAGAGAATGTTGAGATTGGATCCAAGAAGAAGAATGTGATGCTTGTGGGTGATGGTAAGGATGCCACTATCATCACCGGAAGCTTGAATTTCATCGACGGAACACCCACCTTCAGAACTGCCACCGTCGGTATGGTCCTCGTTTTGTGATCTTTATTAATTCCTCTTTCTGATTTTACGGTGACAGAAATGCTTGTGTCAGCGTCTTACTTGTCTAAAAATTATATCCATCATTTCATTAGATCGAGAGATGAGATATTTAATTATTTATTCAGTTACCAAACACTGTTTGACAACTATGTTTAATTTAATTTAGTAAGGGCTAGCGTGCCTCGGGTGTGGGGTCAGTTGATAAAGCTGTCATCTAAAGTTTTTTTTTTTTTTGGTTGGGGACAAAGTTGCCATCTAAAGTTAAATGGCATTATCTCTTTAGTCTCATCTAGATGCCATTAATCTTATCTTATTTTCTAAATTTTTTTACATTGAAATGAAATATCCCCGATCAGTTTGATTTGAAGAAAAATGCTGATCCCGATCCAGAGGTGCAAGAGAAATAATAATTTATATATACAAGGGTGAATAAGTATTTGACAAGTTGGCCAAAAAAAAAAGTATTTGATAAAACATTGTAGCAAAGAGTGTAGGAAATTAAATATAATGAGGAGGTTTTAAAGGGAAGATTGCGTGTTAGCCTCTATGGATATTTGTATATTGGACACATACTACTTCTCTCTCCCTGAACACAACTGTACTAACAGTTCAAAGTCCAGATTCAATGCTGCGTAGGCCAGACATTCTCAATACTACTCAGATGACGGTATTATCAGCAATTTATCGCAAAAATGAAGATAAAAACACGTAACTGTCAGAAATCTTTGTTGTTAATTTATAGTTAAATTTTTCTAATAAAAACGAAAAGGTTCAGACGAATTAAAACGATGAACTAGTACTACTCGTGCGATGTTATGATGTTAAACTGTGTTTACTTGTATTTTTTTAATTAAATTTTTAGTTAATCATGCTTTGGTTTTTTCTAATTACCATTGACCAATGCACCTGCAGCCGCGGTTGGGGATGGATTCATAGCGCAAGACATATGGTTCCAAAACACAGCAGGTCCTCAGAAGCACCAGGCGGTGGCTCTCCGCGTCGGCGCCGATCTCTCCGTCATCAACCGCTGCCGCGTCGACGCCTTCCAAGACACTCTCTACGCCCACTCCAACCGGCAATTCTACCGTGACTCCATTATCAAAGGCACCGTCGACTTCATCTTCGGCAATGCCGCCGTCGTGTTCCAAAAATGCTTCCTTGAGGCTCGGAAGCCAATGGCTAAACAGAACAACATGGTGACGGCTCAAGGACGCGAAGACCCGAACCAGAACACGGGGACTTCCATCCAGCAGTGTAACCTGACACCGAGCTCCGATCTCAAGCCCGTCGTGGGTTCAGTCAAAACCTATTTGGGTCGTCCGTGGAAGGAGTACTCTCGAACTGTGGTGATGCAATCGTTCCTGAGTAGCCACATCGACCCAACGGGATGGGCTCCGTGGGACGACAAGCAATCGACATTGAAGAATTTGTATTATGGAGAGTACATGAACAAAGGACCCGGTGCTGGTACTGCGAAGAGAGTGAAATGGCCTGGGTATCACGTGATTACAAGTGCTTCGGAGGCCAGCAAATTCACAGTGGCTCAGCTCATTCAAGGTGGCTCTTGGCTGAAGAACACTGGAGTCGACTTCATTGAGGGACTCTAGATCCTGGGCCTTGCTGTGATAATACTGATGCGTGTTGGTTTACGTTCCGTGGCCAGGCCGATCGAGACGAGCAATGAAGCTAGATTTAAAAATCTCAGTTCGTACTGTGATGTTATGTTGGTGCCATGTGACTCATCTCGGGTCAGGCGTATGAAAATAATGATGTTGTGGTAATCATTATTTTTGACATAAAATAGTGGTTACTTGTCCAAATAATCAACGGAAATAATTGTCTTGTCTATATATATATATATATAAAATTTTTTATCAGCTAAAAATGTATATTATTTTAAATAATAATAAATATTTATTAAAATATTAAGTAGATATATGATAAATTTATATTAAAAAATTATAGTTTGAGATCACTTATTAAATATGGAGAGTGACGATCAGGGGATTGAGGGAAGAAGAGAGAGACAGATAAGAACAGCAAAAAAATATTATATTTTAATTTAAAATTTTAAAACTCAAATTTGTAAATTTTTTTATTATATATTAATTATTAAGTGTAATTTTATTTAATTTGAAACTTTTTATTTTAAACTATTTATATTTAAATAACCTAATAATTATTACACTATTTAAGTTCAAACACACTAGTAAATCCTGCTAATATGACGTGAGCATGCCTGTGATCTGTCCGCCTCACGATTAGCTCAAAATATTAAACGACGTCCCCCCAACGTCGTGGACGTATGGTGTCTCCTTGGGTTGAAAAATATAAAATATTTTTAATTAAATTTTATTTTAAATAAAGCAGTTATTTATCTTATTGATAAAAAAAATAATTATTTATTTTTAAATAAATACTATCTTTCTATATTTATTTTTAAAATAAAATATAAAATAATTTGTTCATTTAGGATAATTTTTAAAGGCTATAATATATAAAACTCTTGTGAATTTTTAGATAATTGCATATAAACTCTTCACCTTTAAAAGTTAAAATTAACTCCCTTAAACTTTTATTTTATTTTTAAAATCTCTTATTGTTAATTATGCTATTTTTTTATGAGGGTTAAAATGTTATTCAACTAAAAAATCGTATTAAACAAAAATATTATATTGTATAATTATTTATAATAAATTTTTTCTATTTTTTTAAATAATTGAGGCATTGATAATAAAAAAATATTATTATCACTGTGTAAAATTTTAAAATTTATCTAATATTTAAAATTTAAAAGATTTTAAATATTTTAGCCATGTGCATTACATTAATCTAACATGAAAAATAAATAAAAATTTATCTTTTGAAATAATAAAATCATGCAGCATTGGTAAGAAAAAAAATCAATAAAACTAATATAAACATAAATATTTAAAATTTTATACAATGATGATAATATTTTTTTTTTTTGTTAGCAATGCCTCAACTATCCAAAGAAATCAAAAATTTATTATAAATAGTTATACAATAAAATTTTTTAGTTGAATGACATTATAACCCTATGAAAAAATAACATAATTAATAATAGAGAGTTTTGAAAAACAAAATTAAAAGTTGGGGGTTAATTTTAAACTTTTAAAATTATAGAGGATTATATGTAACTGTCTCAAATTTTAAAAGAATTTTATGTATTTTAGCCATTTTTTAAAAAAGATAACTGCTACACCTGGAGACACTAAAATTTTTGAAGAGAAATTGAAACTAAAATACGATCCAGTATATCTTATTTTAAATATAAAGATAGATAATTTTTGAAGTACAAATATGAAATATGTGTCAATATATCAAGGGAATAATTAAAAAGATTAACCAAATTTTTTTAAGTTCTTTTGAAATATTATCAATTAGCATTTTTAAAATATATACTCATATTATTAATAAAAAAGTTATAGAGATAAAAACATATCGAACGTAAGAGGAAAAGGGAGAGAAGCAAAAAGTTGGAATTTGTAATTTAAACCGACAGTTGAGTAGAGTTGGACAACCGAGCTCAACCCAACGAATCGATAGCTAGTCAATTTTGATACGTTAAGTTGGCAAAATGAACCCGTTCAGAAATATGAGTTGGGTTGGCCCAAATTAAAAAAAAAAAGGCCTGACAGGATAGCTTGTTAGCTCATTTAAAAAAAAAATAATTACCATATAATATAAATAAACGTTCGAGACATTATATCATGAGCGCGCGCGCGCGCCTGATTCTTTCACGGGGATGAAGAAATATCTTTTTTTTTTTTTTTTCCCTCTTAACCAACATGCTATCAACGTGTAATTAATTACCAAAAAAAAAGCCAATGATTTACAAAGCAATCAATTCCTTTTAACTAGCACGTGTGAGTAGAGTCAGTTAACAATTTTAATATTAGTATATCCACAAAATTTTAATTTTAATATTGGCTCAATGTAATTTTACATGTAAATGATTAGATTTTATCAATTGGAATATACTCTTAAATACTACTCATTTGATATTATTTATAAGTTATTTTTTACATATTTCATTGGTACTAATAAAAATCTTAAATCTCATTAATTCTGTTTAAAAATTTAACAAGTTATCAACTTTATCTCTATTAAATAATATATTTTAATAATATATTTTTTATTTTTAAAATTTAATTGAGGATAAAAAGGAAAGTTTGTGATGAAAATTTAAATATGTGACTTATAAATTAGACTAAAAAAATTATTCTTTCTCTACCTAATAAATAAGATTGAAGGGAGTGTCATTTACCTATAATAACTCTTGACTAAAATTCGATTAATTTTAAATGCACATGTGTTTTATAAATTTTAAATTATTCTAAATAAAAAGAAATCAAGTGTATTTTAAAGGTTAGCCCACGGGTTAACTAACTTGTCAATTAACTAGTTGGATTGGGTTGTTCCAACTCATTATGTTGCAAGTTCGTCCTAACCCAACTTATCAAAATGCTATCCTTCATGTATTTGCTTGCAGCCCATTTGTGCAGTGCTATAGTTGAGCCCCATGTGGTATGGGTAAAGGGAAGGTGACGGGATTGAAAACATTACAAAAGCAAAGGTGGGGAAGGCGGAAGTAGAAGCATTCATTCTCGCGGAACCATGCTCAAGTGAGGATTGTGAATAGGCTCTATGTTGTCACGTGGGGCATTATTGTTTGAACTGTTTTTAACCTGTTGAGTACCGGTTTTGATCGGTTTACTCTGATCTTCGGAACCTTTATTACAAGCCTTACGGGTTACTAACTTTGGTTGTGGTTGTTTATAATCTTGGTCATTTTAAAATTATCCACACACTCCAATAAATATCCAAACACTTTTTTTTTTTGTTGAATGGTATTTCAGATCTTTTATCCAAATTAATATGATTGGAAATTGAGAGCGCCTTTTTTTAAAAGCATACCACTTATTAAGAATTTAATTGTCATTGTATATTTAGGATTTGAACTTGAGATTATTGATTAAGTTAGACCAACTCCCTTTTAAGTTAATCTAATTACTTGTTGGTATATCCATTTATACATGTAAAAATCATGCTAAAATCAATCATGAATGTAAAATCATGGTTATTTCATAAATTAACGCTTTTCAATTATACTTTCCTACAAATTTATCCAAAAATCATATAAACTTTATTTTACAAATCTTGGCTTGTTAAAAACTTCTTAGTTATACTATTGAATTTCATGTGTAAAGATATAAATATATTTGATGTTAAAAGAAGAAAAGTTTGATTTTTTTTTTATTGTGTGCAAGTATCCTCTTGTTTAGTATATGATTGGGTACTAAATTTGAGTATCTTTTTAATGAGATAAAAAATTCTTTTTTTGGGTTATTTACAGTTATCATTCTATTGGAGGAAATCCTATTCGATGTACTATCAAACATTAAATATGGGTATATTTTCAAGTGAGGATTTAAACATTTATTCATCACATTATAAGAAATTATTCCCTTCCACTAAACAAACCCTATTAAAAGCTTGAATGAATATTAACTAGGTTAAGAATTGCATGAGCTAAGACCTCACCAATAAAAAGGAAGGATTTGGGCCAATCTTCATGTTTCAATATCTCATTGACTGGTTTTGGGCAATCAAGGTAAGACTCAGGGGCTGAAGTTTTAAAAGGTCCATCTTCATTTGGGACCGTTTGGTCTGTTTTTATTGAGCTTCTTACAAAAAAAAAAAAAAAATAGAGACTATGCTTATTAATTAATGCAATTGAACGGCTAATGATACAAGGATCTCATGTCTTTAAATTTCAAGAAATGATCGAGGATCTACCGCTGCTAACTCAGTCAATTATATAGAACTAAGGAATTATAGAGAAAGAGCTTCATTGCCCCTTACCTAACGAATGCGATGAAGAATAGTGGACCTACCTGTAACATTATCAATCTTATCAGCGGCCTTTCAGAATCACCATTTTGTTCTGTGATCAATCTATCTTGTATCCGAAAGACAACAGATATCTTTTATTAATTTTTAAAGAAGTGCATACACACATAAGGTTTAAATCCGAGATTACTAATGAAGTTAGCATAAGCAAGACCAGCTAAGCCAGCCAGGCTATCGTAATAAATTACCATTTGAATACGTTAGATGATTCTGAGGGGGATGATATAAGCCTGTCTAATTTGAGTAATAAAGTAAAGACTGAGATATGTCAGCTACAACTGTCAAACGTGCCCGCACCAATCCTTCTCGTCACATACTCACATATGCCAGCAAAGCAACCAAATTTCAGTTCCCTGTAATCAAACAAGTGTCGCGTTACGTATGCTTCTGGATATCCCCAATTCTTTATTTCTCTGACTTCACTTTCCACATTTATAATTACATAACCTCAGGGGCCAATGTTGAACAGTCGCGCCACTCGGAAGATTGAAATTGTTGATATTAATGCACCTTTTTGCGGCCATTCATAAAAGTCGTAGTTAAAAATAGCGTTTCCAAACAAAATTTGAAGTGTTCCTTTTCTTTACTTTTGACATTTTTAAAGTGTTTTTTTAATTTCAAGAGTCTTTAAAATTACTGCCGGTTTGGTCTTATTCATGTTTGGAATTCACTGTCTTCTTTCCTATTCTTCTTATAAGACAGCTTTAATCCTTAATATAAAACACTTGATAATTAATTATATTTTTTAATATTATTTTTATTTAAATTCATTAACTATAAAAGATGGCGTAATGCAAATTTAATTTTTTTATTTAATTAGAGGTAAAATTAAAATTTTATCTTATTTTTGAATAAAATTAATAATTTAATCACTTCTTCTTGATTTTGATGAAAAAGTTAGAAGTGTCATGATATAAAAATTGAATGGAGTATATCGTAATATATTTTTATCTGAGGCATTCGTTAATAAACAAATCCAGATTAAGGCATTAAATTTTAGTTGGTTTCTGTTCTCAAAACTTTCTCCTCTTATTTCCAAAGCCTTTTCTCACCCTTGATTCTTTTTGAGGCTTTAAAAATTAATGGAAACCCACTATCCTCTCTTGTCCAAAGCCCCTCTTAAACATTTCTCATTCGATCCCTCTCGATCTAACCATCCAACACAGGTTTTGCTGGTGTCATCATTTTCTCTAAGTCTCAAAATGATCATGACGAATGGAGCCTAGCTAAAAATGTTATATTCTTCTTCTCTCGTTCGATAAAATCCTTTTCAGGTACATACAAACAGATTTAAAAGCTGATTCTTGGACACTATATTACGCCGTAGAATCGTGTTCTTATTCAATGTTCAGATGCTAATCTTGATTCGGAGGGAAGAAGAGGTTCCGAATTCACATGCCCGTGAAAACCTTAGCTGACACTCCAGTACTCCTTTTTAACTTTGCCATATATAACTCAGAATACGTCCATTCTTATCTCAAAAGGAAAAGGCATTCTGTGTGTGAAGATTAAAACTCTCTCTTCCTGCATTGCTTGGCCATTGTAGGATAATTGTCTGGTTCCTATATAGAAAGGCTTGTGATTTAATTTACAGCATGGCGACGAAGATAAAAGGGATCTACAAAAGTTTCAAATTCATTTCCCAAATATTTGGTAAGTACTCTTCGTTTCCTGGGTCTAGCTATATAGGTTCTGAAATGTGTTCAATCAATGTGGTACTGATAAACAGATCTTAATTTCTTCAAGTTGTGAAGGAACGTGAGATGGAAATCGGGCACCCTACCGATGTTAAACACGTGGCTCACATCGGATGGGACAGCCCCTCCATCACTGGACCAAGTTGGGTATGCATGTCTTTCCATTAATCTTTTCTGCAAGTTTCTATAGGGTTATCCAATATATATTAGATCTTGATTGAATTAATGATCAATAAATATGTGATTGCATATTTGAGATGAGTGGGGTGGCCCTGATTCAATCGATACTAAGGAGTAGTGGATATAAGAAAGAGATAGACATATAATGTGAGCATGCCTCGATCACCTGACATGATCATGTATTTATCTCTCTTTTTGCGGTGTCATAAAGAAGCTTTTGTATAGATCTGAAATGTTAAAAATGAAATTTGATCCGAGAATTTCATCTTTACTTGCATGCGTGTACCCTATAAGAATCAATTGTTTTTTCTCTGTGCATCAGATCTTATTAATTTGGTCTGGGGATGTTTTATGCAGATGAATGAGTTCAGAACATCGCCCAATTTGGCAACGTCCTCTGACAACACTGGAGAACCAAGAGTTACCAATCCTATACCTCTCACCACCACATGGTCCAACCAAGGTATGATATATTTTAAGATTCGCTTGCATAATAGATGATATATATTACGTTTGATTATCGTTCTGTGTCATGAATTTATATCTAGATTCTTTGCTTCCTTCATGGGAAGATCTTGTCCGTTGTATCACGAGATAACACTTTCTCAATTATCTATTGGCTTTGCATTCTCGCACTTTACACTGCTTTTTAATTTTTATTCAAGTTGTCCACAGGACGCTTCATTTTATCGGATCCATCATCTCTCTGCTCTAGTCTTATTTTCTTCTCAAGATTGATTCTACCACGCTTACCAGGAACATGGTGCGTCGGTACGTAGATTAGTCATATTAGATGAGTCCTTTTTTTTTTTTTTGAGTTCATAGGCACACACACTTCATCTCCCAATTGAAGAATCTTTCTATTTTATAACAATGCAGTCATCATATTCATTCGTGGATTGGAATTTTGCCATTATTCCTGACATCATCTTTCTATTTTGCTTTGGAATCTACTGTCCCCCCCCCCCCCTTTCTTTCTTTCTTTCTCCCTTTCCTTCCTTGTTTTGGAATAGCCTTTTGAGCCCATCATTTTGGACTTCCCTTGGGAAGGCGCAGTTTAACATTAGGAGCACTCCTGGTTCTGGTCTAGGCTTATTGGGTTCGTCTTGGAGAGCACACTTTCATTGTCTAGGCTCAAATGAACTGGGTTGGGCTTTATAGGCTTTTTGGAGTTAGGAAATTTAGAGTCACTATGGTTTGGTAGATTCATATGCAAAATGACACTATAGTTAGGTTTAATCTTAAACAGTGATAAAAAAAAAAGAACGATGAAAAGGGTTTAAGTCTTTATCCACGTCAACTATACTTTTTACCACTTGAATTAATCTGAGATTGTTACAGATCCTTTTTGATGTACTAAGAATATTTATTATAAATATCAAGAGAGACATATATATGTACGCATGAGTTGTTTCACATCTTTCTACAATGCTTGCCCCTAACCAATTTTAGAGGATCAAATCCATGTACAATATTGTTCTGATGAATCCCAGAAATTCTATGTCAATGTAAAATAGATCTTAATTTCAAGGTCGTCACGTGTCAACTGATTCTTCGTTTACTAATTTGTACTGTTCTATTTAACACTTGATTACGGGGAACAGATACGGAGGAGTCCATAAGAAGCAAACCAACGTCATTCAACAGCTCATCTTCCCATCATCATCGTAATGCTTCGAAAAAGAACAAGAGTAGAAAAACCAAGTCAACCTCATCTACTAGGTCTTCTTCATCTTCGTCCTCAATAAGACAGTCGAGAGAGTCCAAGTCAAAGCTCACGTTCAGTGAAGCAACACCAACAATACAAGTCTAGACGTTAGGATTGTAAAGATAGGGTACTCAAAGTCTTCATTAGGTATATGCATGTTTTCAGTTTGTCCCATAAATATATATATGACGAGAGTGAACATTTTTTACAGCTTATTGGCACCACATGATTTAATGTTATTGAAGAACTGATAGCAAATATTTAAGAAACCGATCACCGAAATCTTCTTGTGATGTTGATTGCAAGAACCATAACTTAATGGTCCACGCAACCACTTGAGGAATGAAGTTGTAGTGGCCTCATTCTGGCATGCATGTTGTATCGTAAATAATGTTAATTCAATGGTATAGAGGGCTTGTGTTAATAAATAATAGTGCCCATTCAAAATGTTATTCCCTCTGTCCATATATATAAACTGTTTTTTGAAAACTTATTTTGTTCTTAAATATAAAAAGGGTGTTATGATATTTTTAAGTAATTAAAAAATTTTATTTTTATCTTAAAAAATGAAGAAAATATTAATTGTGAGCTTTATTCACTATCACTATAATATTAATTAATTGTAATATTATTAGGAAAAACTGAAAAATCATTATAATTTTATATAACATTAATTAAATAATAAATTTTTATTGGCACATGAAATTTAATTAAAAACATCTTATGTATAAATCAAGGGGGATTATGTGTTGCGGAATTGTCTCTCTCGATCGCCATATTAAAATAAAAATTAGTCTCATACGTGTCAATTAGCTAGTCATCTTTATTGTGTCAGTATGAGAGAATTGCATTAATGGTCCTCAAAATAAGATATTTGCAAAGAAGAACCAATAAATTCTGAAATTTTTTTACAAGTCCAAAAATCTCATTTGCAGTTATATTTTACTGAAATTATCATGTCACCCTTCCCATAATCAGTCCCAACTCTGCATTTTCTTGTTCTCTTCTTCCTCGCTCTTTCGTATTTCTCTTCCTCTTCCAGCAACGATGGGCGCCGAGGTGTTGGTGGCAGTGCAAAGTAATTACTTTGTAAGTGCCACATTTGCGTAAACACCAAAGAAGGCAGCGCAAGACTGAACCACAAGTTTTCAGAAAAAGAGTCTAACAAGGAAGGGCCTATAGAAATCTAAAGAAGAGGCAAGAAACTTGGCGGGCAGTCTAAATCAAAGAGTGGGCAAATGAGCTAGGAATATTTGGAGCAGAAGTGTGCCCTTTCTTGAGGGACGTTGAACTTGGTTAACTTTTCTCTTATGATGTCTTTTTCTTTCTTTTTCAAAGAAGGATAATGCTTTTGGTGGTTGGCTAAAATAAAAATGCGCCAATGTAGCTAGTAAAGGATAAAAATGAAGAGTTTTGTTTTTGGGAATTGTTGGATCTATGCACAGTAGCTAATAATTTGTAGTGGGTATTGTTAGATTGTTTAAATATGAGTGAACCACAAGACAATGTAAGAAGTTTATATTGAATAAAGTTGAGCTTAACAACTATATATAAAAAAAAAATGACCTATCAACTTGAATTTTGAATTTTGAATTAAAACATAGCGTTTTTTCACAAAATTTGTAGAATTGTTGGAAGAGCAAGAGAGAGAAGGAAGGATGAGAGACAGGAGTTGTTGATAAATTCCAAAACCTACTGAGCCCTCTTTGCAAATATGTTCACTCAAAAAGCCAAATCTTCCTAATAACTTCATTAAGGGAGAAGATACTCATAAAAAATGCCTACAAATTACTGAAGTATTTTTTCTATTTCAAATTATGAGAAATTTTTAAACAAAATTTTATATGCCAATAAAATTTTTTAAATATATTTATTAATTTTATTTTTTTGAAACAAAAATAAAAATTTTAAAAATACTCTTCATTTACTATATTGATAAGAAAGAGTGATGAAAATTAAATAGAAAAAAGATAATATTAAAATAAATTTATTTAATTAAATTTTAATATTCTCAAGATATTTTGTATTTTGAGATATTAAATTTTTCTCAAAAAAAATTTATAATTTGAGATGCAAAAGGTACATGTTTAATGTAATGATAACGTGCACTCACTTTGAAGTAGTTGAAGATTTACGTGAAGGTATTCTAAAAAATTAATAATGATGGTATGGGCGAATCAAATTAATGAATGAGAAAAATAGAGAAGGGTGCACAATTTATTCTGAACGCACCTACTCAAATTACAGCGTTAGCGCATTGATATTATTATTATCTCCACGTTGAAAGTGAGATTTTGGTGTACCCAGTTAAAAAGAAAAAAGACTTTAATTTGAGTTTCAGAATACAGGTCAATGGAATATAAATGTAAAACTAAATTATTCAATTTAAACTACATTATTATTAAATAAATTAATGGGTGCAACAAAGCCTGCCAGCGTTGCAGGGAACTCCGAAGTGTAAGGGCGGAATCAAACGATCCCTCCTCCCCACAGAATCCTATGCCATCATATTTTTGCTCTACCTACTGTTTACGTACTTCTTCAGTTAAATTAATATTTGTTTTTATTTCTTACGTTGATTAAATAAATGTCAATTTCAACTTAATTAAAATTAATATCTTAAATTTAAACTTCATATAGACAATTGCGAAGTTGTCATTAGACGCGTTCTTGAGCCTATCTCTCGGGATAATTGGTCTCTCTGAATGGGTACGTTTAAATTTGTCATCAACCAGCTGGTGAGTCTGGTTAATAAAAATGAAAAGCGAATCTTCAAACAAATTAAAACGTGGAGAAGTCACAAACCAGAATTGAATCTAGTAGAAAGAACTAATTTTTTATAACGTGATAAATTAAAATTTTAATTATTGTCAGGAAAATATTTTTTGTATAGCATTTGATTGTATCTCCAATAAAATTACTTTCAATGATAGGATACCTTTAAATTAGAGGAGTTCAAACTAGTAAAAGGTAACGTTCTTTACAGTGTCACCATAAATATAGCAGCAATTAAACTTCTGTAAACTCATTTAGTTCGTCTGCAAAAGTGCAAATAAAATAAAAATTGTTGTGAATTCGTCAATCATCAATTTGTGGGGTTGCATTGTCAGATCATAATAGTTTCTTATCCTTTTATGGCATTAAAAAGTTACTCTTGGATTACAGAAAACAAAAAAAAAATTGCTACTATATAATATTGGAAAAATTAATTTATAAGTCTTTCTAATTTTTTTAATTTTAAATTAGATTTCTATATAATTTATTTTGTTTTAGTCAAGCTATTATAATTTTATTTATTAATTTTTTTAAAGAAAAAAGGGGTTGATGGGTATCCGAGAGTTTAAATTATTATTCAAATGATAACTTTAAACCTTAAACTTTCAGAATGAACAAAAACTCCCTTAAACTTATAAGTTTCAAGCAAATTATTCTTACCATTAAGTTATATATGACTGCAATTACTTTTGACTTTGCAAGATTCAATTAAAAGTTATATTAGTTGGGTTACATAACGGCCAACATTGTACGAATGAACAATGAGGGTAATTGATTTGCTTAGAATTTACAAGTTGATAAGAGTTTTGCTCATTTTAAGAGTTTAGAGTAAGGATATTTTTCAAGTAATAGTTTAAAATCTAGGATACTTATTAATTCTTAAATTTTTTTAAATTTATAGAAAAATTAATTTAATACTTTTACCCAAGAAAATAAAAAATAAAACTTTATTTAATACCATGTTTACATTTTTATTAATATTTTATGAAATATATATATATAATTATTTAGAAAACATAACCTGACTATATAAATTTTGAGCTATAAAAATTATTTAATTAATTTTAAAATTATATAATATTTTAATAAAAATATAAATTTTTTAATTTCTTTTTTTAAAATAAATAATTTAAGGATTTTAATTCTTAGGAATTAATATATTTTATTAATTAAATTATAAGGGTTTGACAAAAACAAAATAAACTACATGAACTTAATTCAAAATTAAGAAAAAACTAGAAGGACTTGCAAATTAGTTTTTCAACATTCCCATAATATAGGAATTTTTTGAGAAACCATCGTTTAATAAAAATAAAATAAATTTTTATTTTATTTATTATTCCCTTTAAAAATGATTTATTAGAATTTCATTGTAAAGAACTTATATTGAACATTTAATGAGGGTGTTTAAACAAATCAAATATTAGATGAGTAAAATATTTTGACCTCTCATCTATTTTGCCTTAATAGTTGGTACTTCCCTTCTATTTTTTAAAACTTATAGGAACCTCCCATAGTATGAATATTTAAAAAATACAAACACTCTCTCTATTGCTGAATTTTGATTTTTATCTACCTAACTGACTATTAAGTTATATATGCTAGACCAAAATATACCTTTTTAAATATAAATATTGTTTAAAAATTTTTTAATGCATATATTTTTTCCATTTTAATTTATATTTTAAATTTTCTGTTTTGTAAACATATATATTAAACGGAATTAAAAGACTTAACGGAAGAAGGATTATTTTGGCTAGAAATAAAATAATTATTTAATATAATAAAATGTTTAACATAACTTATATTTATTTTTTAAAAATTTCATTAATTTTAACACAAAATTTTAAAGCTATTTATTCAAATATCTATATACTTAATAATTCAAATTTTTTAATATTAGGAGAGAGAGAGAGTAGACAATTAGATTATTAGAGCAAATTGACAATTTTAAAATTTTCAAATCATAATTACAAACAAAAAAATTAAGTATATTAGAATCTTTAACGCAAGATTTCTAACCCTGTTAACATTTGGACTAGAGTGTAGGTTTTGAAAAAAAAAAAAAAAGGAGGGCCACTATATTTTACTTGTATTATATTTATTCTGTTGTAGGGTATAATTGAAAATATGTACTCCTTCCGTTCTACATTATAAAATATTTTTTTTCAACTGAACTTAGTTCAAAATGTAAGATACTTGATACTACTTTTTGAATTATTTTTGAAAAAAACACTACTTTTAGTCTTTACACTTTGCTTAGGTTTTGGTATAGGCCTCTGCAATTTTTTTTTATATTTAGGTCTCTACAGTTTTCTCTATTTGTAATGCTGGTCCCTACATTTTAGAGGAACGTTGATGTGGCATAAATGGAGTTAATAATACTGATATGTCAATTAACAAAGTTAATTTTTTGCTTATATGTCAAACTCATACTAACATAAATTTTTTAATGAGCAAAAATAAAAAAAGCCCACATCAAATGAAATAAAAAGACTGACCTAGACTCTTTAAATTTTTGCTTATTAAAAAATCCATGCCAGCATCTTTATCTCATCTGATTTTGGCTTTTTTTAATTTTTGCTTATTAAAAAAATTATGTCAGCATCTTTATTTCATTTTATGTAGGTTTTTTTAATTTTTACTTATTGAAAAATCCATGTCAGTATTTTTATTTCATTTGATGTAGGTTTTTTTTAATTTTTACTTATTGAAAAATCCATGTCAGCATTTTTATTTCATTTGATGTAGGTTTTTTTTAAGAAAATTTTTCTCATGAAAAAAAATCCATATCAACATCAGTTTGACATATAAGCACATAATTAATAATATTAATTGACATGTCAACATTATTAACACTGTCTGTGTCACGTCAATATTTTTATAAAAATGTGGGAACCTACATTACAAATGGAGAAATATATAGATAATTGAAGTATAAAAACAAAGTGGAGGGACTAAAAGTAGTATTTTACCATTATTTTTCTAAATTTATCCTCGTATTAACTAATGTGATTATGAAAAATATAATTTGACTAATCATTTTTCTCATAGTAATAGAAGGCATTAGAGGCAAAAAGGAAATAAATGTACCATTTTTTAAATAGAAGTAAGGAAATAACCACTTTATTAATATGTAAAATATGGTTGAGGATGTATTACAATTTGGATAGAAGTGAAAACGAACTAACTAACTTTTTTATTTTAGAATTATGAAGTAATTATCAATGTCATATATTCTTTCTAATCTCTATTATAAATCACTCTTAACTACCTCATGGAAAAAGAAAAAGTGGTTAACCCATTAAATTTGTCTTAAAAATTAGGATAAAAGGGCAAAAATACCCACAAAATAGTCAGCGACGAGCACCCAGTATTCTAATGTAACAAAAAAGATAAAAATACCCATAATGTTATATGGATGAATGCAAAAGTAACTAAATCGTTAACTTTGAGTTAACACCATTAACTTTGACCATTAAATACTGATTGTGTGTGCCATTTGTCAGTTTTGTTGGTGTGGACTAAAAAAGAGGCAAAAATACCCACGAAGTCATGCCCAGGAGAGAAGATACCCATAACGTTACTAGAATTGGTGCAAAAGTAACCAATACATTCAATCCCTTAAATGTTGACCGTTTAATTAACACCTAAGCAAAAGTTGACTATTTTTTCACTGATGTAGACAAAAAATATTCATAGATGAAATTCTCTGAAAGTTAATCAGTTATTGTATGAATATCATGTGAGAGAAATATCATTTTAACTGAATATCAAATTAAATTATTTATTTTTTTTGCAACAGTGGCAAAAATCATTTAAAAATTTTGAATCTATCGTGAATGCAATTGCTTAAGATTGAGATAATGTTCTTAAGTTAGATGTGCTCAGTCTTGATCTTCAATTTTGAACAATCTATCTTATTATGTTAAATCTCAAGTTTATAGACAAGGAAAATGAGTGGATAGGGAGAAAGAAAGGGGCGAAATACGTGGTGATGGAAAGAAACTATATGGTATTGATTTTAACAAATTGGTCACTATTGTACCTATTAAAGTAACATTATAGGTACTCACATAATGATTGATTAACATCCGTAAAAATTTATTTTGGAATATTTTTTGTCTATATTAGCAAAAAAATAATTAACTTCTGCTTAAATGTCAACTAAATAGTCAACATTTAAGGGATTGAATGTATTGATCACTTTTGCACCAATTCTGATAATGTTATAGATATTTTTGCTCTTGACCAATGATTTTGTGGGTATTTTTACCTCTTTTTTAGTCCACGTCAGCAAAGACTGACACGTGGCATGCACAGTCAACATTTAACGGTCAACGTTAATGGTATTAAGTCAAAGTTAATGGTCTAATTACTTTTACACCCATTCATATAACGTTATGGGTATTTTTGCACTTTTCATCATTTTAGGATACCGGGTGCCCGTCGCTGACTACTTTAGAGGTATTTTTACCCCTTTACTCTAAAAATTAAAAGTATTCTAACTTGTTACACAAAAAAAATGTATTCTAACTTTTCTCTAATTAAGAAGAGAGAGAAACACAATATTTGATGAACAATACATAAATACTAAATTAAAATTAAATTCTTCTTTTTACTAGGGTAAAAGTAAAAAAAATGTTAATCAATATTCTCCCTTTCTCAATTTAGAAGACATTTTTAGATAAAAATGCATATACATATAAAATTTATTAAATATATTTTACAACCTTACTTTTTCAAAATAAAAGCATAAACTTTTAAAATGTTTGATACTCCATTTGTGAAGATAATATTAAAAAAGAATATAATAAAAAAAATAAAAAAATATTATAATTAAAATATTATTTTTATCAAAATGTTTTATATTTTAAGACATAAAAATTTTATTTAAAAATATGTTATAATTTGAGATAAATATAGTAATGTTGTATGTGACTTATAGTAAAGACAAAAAAAATTGTATTTTGGAGGACACGTAAGAAGAGTACTTGAGTAGGGAGTACAGTATATTCTAAATTAGAAAGCATACAATGTAATAACTCAATTTTTTTGGGCCTGATAAAAATGAAGTCAAATACAAATTGTGATGGGGTGTGGTATATTTGAACAAGTTTGTATTTGCTCGGAACCATCTCATCTCCATCTGTCTCCCTTTCTTGCATTTATGGCGATTCGCCCTCCATAAATGCTTTTACACCCTCTCAATACCCTCAGCAATAACTCCTCCACATTACTTCCATCATCTTCTTCTCCTTCCTCATCTCCTCCTGCTCTCTCTCTTCGTCTCTCAGTCTCTCTTCCCTCTTCTTCCACCACATGTACACCATCCGCTTCCATTAATGAAAGTTATGAAACCCTTCTTATAATTAGCACTACAACGTCTCAATCACAAAAATCTTCCCATTTCCTACAACAATTCAAACATCTTCCCCTGCCTCTTCCTCCACCCTCCTCTTCCTTCTTCAACCCTACAGATCGCCTAGTATCTCTTCGCATGTTCATTTTCGGCTCTTCTTTTTGAGTCAGTTTGACTTACCTGCTTCAATCCATTTTCGCCGTTACTTGTAGAGTCCCTCGAAGAGAGAGATTATTGACGAGCGTTACAGTCTGCGTGTCAACCATTTCACACAATGTCAACCCTATTTTCCTTTTGTCTTTTCTGATTTTGCTCGCCTCTTGGGTTTTGTAGTCTCCAATTCTTGCACGTCAAGAGAGAGAGAGAGTATTAAGGGCTAAGTGCAAAACCCAAAAGTCTTTTATGCCCCTTTTACAAACTAGAAGCCCAACCAGCTCCATCTTTCTTCTTGTTCAAAGCCATCTCTCTCGCTGATCCAGAGACATCTTGACACAAACTCTCCAGAAAATGTCAATTCCTTCTCAGTATTAATGTCTCGGTGACACCACCACTTTGAATAGTGAGAGAAGAAAGAAGAAACATGCGTCCAAATTGCCAATGCATGCCACGGAATTTTAAGCAAAGAAGGCGGATCATCGTGCTGTACTGTGTATAGAGATCATCTTCAAGGTTAATCAATCTTCCATACGTTCAGGTGAGCTTATCTTTTCTTTCTTGCTTTTCCCCCTAATAAAACAGATGATAGTACATTCTTGTACGGAGATTTTGAGTTTTGCGTAGTTAGAAAAACGGTAATTAAGCATTGGAATAGACATGGAAACTAACATATTCTCACCTTCAACAGCATTATATATAGTCGGAATATTGTTTTCTTAGAGAAAACATCTTACACAATGGTTTTTATCATCACAGAAGCAATAGTTGTGCTTCTGTTTATGCTGCAATCTTAAAATAACCAGGATTTTAAATAAAGGAAAAGTGGGGGCTTTCTTTTTTGGGAGAAAAAGGGAAGCTTCCTATATGTGGTTTCACTTACAGTGTAAAGCTTCTCTTGCCATAAAATGCAAATGAAAATCTTCCTATAGTCTTTTACATTTCTTTACTACTCCTTCCCAATCCTAAAGCCATCCTTTTATTTTTATTTTTTAAGTTTTCAATTTGTTTTCTTTTCCATGTTCAGCCAGCGTCTATACGTAGTTTTTTATTTTTTATTTTTTGACTTAATCAGTGTGTTTGGCAGTTGGAATTAACGGACCGTAGCTTCTAGAATTTAGGGATTTGTGTCGCAAAATGTTTCAACAGCCAAGCATGTATGACTCTAGTATGCTGGATATGTCCCACAAGATGTCGGACAGTGATCTGGTGGGAAGGAAGACCAATGACGATGATTACGAGATCAAATCGGTGACTGAAACAACCATGGAAGCTCCTTCTGGTGACGACCAAGACCCCGACCAACGTCCCAAAAAGAAGCGCTACCACCGCCACACCCAGCGCCAAATACAGGAGTTGGAAGCGTATGTATTTGACTTTGACTCAATTAGTCTGAGTTTGAATCCTCAAGACCAGTCCATTAATATCACCGTACAATTAACATGATTTTGCTTGCTTGGTTGCTTGTAAAGCTGTAATTGTGTCTTTCTTATCGTGTGAAACTCTCTCTCTCTCTCTCTCTCTCTCTCTCAGCTTCTTCAAGGAGTGTCCCCACCCAGATGACAAACAAAGGAAAGAGCTGAGCCGTGAGCTGGGATTAGAGCCTTTGCAAGTCAAGTTTTGGTTCCAAAACAAGCGTACCCAAATGAAGGTAAAGGAGGAATATTAAATTCCATCCTTTTTCCAATTACATTGAAGCTTCTGCTTCTGCTTAGATGGCTTAATTATAATTAGCTCCGCCATTGGATGATCATTCTTTCTGATGGGATCATATATATAGGCACAACATGAACGCAGTGAGAATTCAATTTTGAAGGCTGAGAATGAAAAGCTTCGTGCGGAAAACAATAGGTACAAAGAAGCGCTAAGTAACGCTTCATGCCCCAACTGTGGGGGCCCTGCTGCTCTTGGTGAAATGTCCTTTGACGAGCAGCACCTCAGGATTGAGAATGCTCGTTTAAGAGAAGAGGTATCTGATATATATTGCCAACACGTTCTTCAAAACCACGTGTTTTTTTTTTTTTTTTTGTTAATCATCTTCTGATAATTAGATTATAAGTGACCTCTCTTTTTCTACCTATTCAGATAGATAGGATATCAGGAATTGCTGCCAAATATGTCGGAAAGCCTGTGACATCATTTTCTCTCCTTTCATCTAATCATGTTGCTTCACGCTCGCTCGAAGATCTTGGAGTTAGTAGTAACTTTATGTCACAATCAGGGACGGTTGGCGAAATGTACAGTGCGCGTAGTAGTGACCTTATTAGGTCACTGCCAGTGCCTTCTGAAGCTGACAAGCCCATGATTGTGGAGCTTGCTGTTGCAGCAATGGAGGAACTCATCAGGTTGGGTCAGGCTGGAGAGCCCTTCTGGGTTATCCCCAGTGACCACTCTTGTACCCACGAAGTTCTGAATGAAGAAGAATACTTGAGGACTTTTCCTAGGGGCATAGGTCCTAAACCCTTGGGACTGAGATCTGAAGCTTCCAGAGAATCCGCTGTGGTTATCATGAATCATATAAACCTTGTTGAGATTCTCATGGACGTGGTATTTTTTGTTCATTTTCACATTTTATTACAATAATTAGTATTTGTCGCTACCAAGTACACCATCTAATTCTTTAATGATTAAAAAACAAATCCGTGTTAATTTAAGTGCTTCCTAAATGTTAAGCTAGTTATATATATATTTTTTGATGTTGCGGATTTCAGAATCAGTGGTCAAGGGTGTTTTGCAGCATCGTTTCAAGAGCAATGACACTTGAGGTCCTGTCAACGGGAGTGGCAGGGAACTACAACGGAGCTTTGCAAGTGGTAATCAAATTTTATTTTATTCTTTTTCTTAATATGAAGATCGAAATGAAGCAGACAAAATATATTAATATATATTGCTATTAGAGGATTAATTTCATCTAAAAGTTTGTTTGCTCTGATAATCACAGATGTCTGCTGAGTTCCAAGTCCCTTCACCTCTTGTTCCTACAAGGGAAAACTACTTCGTCCGGTACTGTAAGCAGCATGCAGATGGGACATGGGCAGTGGTCGATGTTTCTCTGGACAACCTGCGACTTAGTGCTTTATCTAGAAGCAGAAGAAGGCCTTCTGGCTGTCTGATCCAAGAATTGCCAAACGGGTACTCGAAGGTGACATTTCAGATCACTCTACTATATCTATCATCTCCACAGGTTGCTGATGATAGCTCAAGAACTGTGTCTAACTCGTTTTCTTCCTCTATATATGAATATACCTACGTCTCAGGTTACTTGGATTGAACATGTTGAAGTGGATGATAGAAATTTGCACAATATATACAGACCCCTCGTCAATTCTGGCGTTGCCTTCGGAGCTAAACGTTGGGTGGCCACATTAGATAGACAATGTGAACGTATTGCTAGTTCTATGGCCTGCAACATACCTGCAGGAGACCTTTGCGGTATAATCGAGACTCTTCTCATTTAAAACAAACAAAACTTAGCTTTGGTCTCATTTAAAACAAACAAAACTTAGCTTTGGTACTTCATTATATATACATTGAGTACTAATGGATTTGAAGCGTGGCGCTTATCATTGATCAGTGATAACGAGTTCTGAGGGAAGGAAGAGTGTGCTGAAGCTTGCAGAGAGGATGGTGATGAGTTTCTGTGCTGGAGTAGGGGCTTCAACGGCACATGCATGGACGACACTATCAGCAACCGGGAACGATGATGTGAGGGTAATGACCAGAAAGAGTATGGATGATCCGGGCAGGCCTCCTGGTATAGTTCTCAGTGCTGCTACTTCTTTCTGGCTTCCAGTTCCTCCAAACACGGTCTTCAATTTCCTGCGAGATGAGAACTCTAGAAGCGAGGTACCACTTAATTATTTTACTACGGTTTCATAATTACTATTGCTCCCATCATGATCTCTCTGAGGCTTGGCAGCTAATCAAGCTAATTTTGCAGTGTTAGTGCTAGTTTTTGCTGCTAGGTAGATAGCTATTGTAAGTTCACATGTTTCGTCTTAAATTGGAGCTTTTGTTGAATTGACAGTGGGATATTTTATCCAATGGAGGCATAGTCCAAGAAATGGCTCATATAGCAAATGGTCGTGATCCAGGCAACTTTGTCTCCCTACTTCGTGTCAATGTAAGAAGCTTTCTTTAGTATATATACTCAAATAATTTATGATTCCTACAAAATTCTAAATTCTGTCTGCAAATTAAAGAATTGACTGCTTAACTGCGTCGCTCAATTTGGGCTATCTATAACCTCTCTGTCAAATCAACCCCCGAGAAATCTCTGCTGAATCATGTCATCAGTGACTAATATATACATGCCTATGATTGCAGAGTGCAAATTCAAGCCAAAGCAACATGGTGATACTTCAGGAGAGCTGCACAGACGCAACGGGATCGTATGTGATATATGCCCCTGTAGATATAGTGGCCATGAACGCAGTGCTTGGAGGAGGAGACCCAGACTATGTTGCTCTCTTGCCCTCTGGTTTCGCCATTCTTCCTGATGGCTCTTCACTGAACAGCAACACTGGAGGAGGGCCTATTCTTGATGTTGGCTCAGGAGGTTCTCTTCTCACTGTTGCATTTCAGATCTTGGTTGATTCAGTGCCTACAGCTAAGCTATCTCTGGGCTCAGTTGCCACTGTTAACAGTTTGATTAAGTGCACTGTTGAAAGGATCAAAGCTGCAGTCATGTAACTTGTGATTAATTATATATGGTAATCAAATCTTCGACATAATAACTATAAATACTCCGATTTGTTTGAAAGTACTTGAACTATTTGTTTTGATTATTATATTGCTGCTTGAAGTTGTTAGGGCGAGGATATAGAGAAAGGAGAAAAGATGGAAAAGGAGGGAGAAAGTCAATAAACGCACCTTTGAGTATCCATTGAAGAAGCAGAGAAAGTTAGCATCATCTATCATCTTGGAAGGATATATGGGTTCGGGTATTGACTTCCCAATATATTGAAGACTAAAGTAGCAGCTTTGATTAATTAATTACTTAGTAGCTAATTATCAGGACTTAGTGTATGTAACTTAGAGAATAACTGCTCTAATTACTTTTACCAGCTTCTCCCTGTGATCTTTAATTATTGGTTTAGCCTTGATCTTACCTAGTTTGCATTGTAAGCTTATGAGAAATTAAAACCTTTGCTCTTGAATGTTATCTGGGTTTCTCTATTTTCAAGATGTTGACTTCTTTTCCTTGCTCAATCCAACTTCCAACCAAGATGATGACTAAACCGAAATTTCAATTTTCATATATGTCACATCACTTCCTGGCTTAGCTAAATGAATGTGAATTTTCCCCATGGATGCAACAAGAAATTAAGTTCTTCTACATTAAGGGCCGGTTTAGATATTGGAAAGCAATGAAATAGAATAGCATTTCTAAAAAGTAGCCTCAAAAAAACTATATAACAATTAATAAGTGCTATATAATCTCGAAAAAACTATACAGCAGTTATATATCCGCTACATAAGTTGTCTTTATATACAAATAATCATTATATAATTTATATTAAATAGAAGCCCCAATATCATTTCAATCAAATATCTAACAGTTCCCTTAAAATAACCGTTAAGCAGCTGTTCTATATTCAACGGTAATTATCCCACGAAAACCTTTATATAATTAGGCTCGATTCTAGTCATTTATGATAGGTTGCTCAGTAAATTAAATAGCAGTTATTTCAAAATAATTACTATATAATTCTATCTATATAGCGGTTATTTGTTATAATTGTTATATATATATATATATATTGAACAATGATTATTTCAAAGTAATTGTTATACAGTTTAATTTTTTTCCCTAAATAGGGGGTTGCATTTTGACCAGCCCCCTATAAAACAGAATACAGACATTTTTAAAATTGCAATCTAGTAATGAAGTTCTAATTTCAACCAAAATTCATATGTAATTAAAATCAAAATTATTCATATTTATAACAGCTTTTATAATCTATTTAAAGTACTTCAAAATTATCAAAAAATACCTATACACTAAAGTAATTACAAGAAAAAAATTTCCATGTAAAACTAAAATTGGCCAAAGTATAAAGAACCTATATAATGAATCAAAATTGAGCAAGCTAATAGATGTGGTCATTTATGTTGCCAGTTGTAAATATTTTACTCATTGTTTGAACAAATCATGTGACAACTCTTTAAGGATTTCTTTAATGTCAGTTGTAGTATATTCCTCTACAAATGCATCCTTCAAATACTGTTAAGCCAGACATAACAACAAAAAATCAAGTTTTAGTATATGATGTGTGTATTATAATGTAAATTATAATTAAAATTAATGTAGTAGAGATAGAAGACATACTTGATTAGGCAGAATCCCAAGATTTAGTGCATGATTGATTATGTCTTTTATGTATCTTGTGATGCTATAGCTACAATTCGTAGTCTTGTTACATTGTTGTGGACTCTTTTGATCAAACAAAAAAAAATAAATTAGTTAAAATATAATAAGCTAAATTTGATGAAATAATTAAATTTAGGATAAATGCATACCTTAATTATCATCTATTCAAATGCGTCCTTAAAATTTTTAGTATTATTGCAGATGAGAGGCAAATTTTTTTAGCTACGAAACATGTGGATAGCCCTACATGACAATGTATCTTTATATCAAAAACCACGTAGAAATAATAATTTACATACATAAAGAAAAATTAATTAACTTACTCATTGAATATGATAATAATATATTTTTTGTTTTCCGGTTGCCCTCTTAGAGGAATGAGATACCAGATTAAGCCTCTATATTAATTGATCACAAGTAGTATCTAATGACCCCTATCATAATGAGCACATATTAGCATGCGTTACAGAAAAACAACTTGATTAAAAAAATTCAAATACAAATACTAAAAATGATTCACTCATCGTAAAATGGTGCCAAGAAAACTTCATGCTCCCTGAATGCACACTAGCTGAAATAATCAGTGATGTCTTATGATTTGGTTTCTAGTTTCTCTTTGTCCATTACCCACTTCCATAGGAAGAGGTAACGTGGGGACTTATCAAACACTAGGTGCTTTAAAGGATGTGTACATGTACTTTACATATTAAAATAATATAACAATCAATAAAATGTATTAAATATAAGTAAGTTATTCAAAATATATATTTGATTAATAATGGTACCTTATAAAATGACTGTACAGACTCATGGTCGCCTCCCTACAGGTGATAACATTTGTCACAATCTCTTTATTGATATTATCCTAGGCATTAATAGTGTCATAAACCTCCAGCTCAAAAGTAATCGTCACACCCCCTGTGCAAGCCGGATAATGTCTTAGAATCTCAATTCTTGTCGGAAGAGGTGCTTGAGATTTAGAGGGGGCCCTTAAGGTAACCTTTAAATTAAGCTTCAGAGTAAGGGTTGGGGTAGTCTTTAAAGGAGGTGCAAGGGTACTCTTTGGGAGAGAGGGGGTGTAGCTTGCATGACAAAATCCTTGGTCTTCTCAAAAGCCTTCCTTTTCTTGCCTTTCCCCTTATTATCACTGGAGGGATTTTTTAGAGAAAGCTTCTTAACATGCTTCAATCACATCATGCTAGTAATCAATCTATAAGTATAAGAGAAAGTGCAATGTTGAGAAATGTTTAATTGATATACCTTTGGCTTTAGCTTTTGTTGTGAAACTTGTTCTAAAAATCAGACTAGCAACAAAACTACCTAGTACTTCTTCAACAGCTTCAGCATCTAGTGCAGGCATAGGCAAAGGGTAGTTAGACTCATTCACAGTCAATAGTTGGGCCTTTACATTGTCAATAGAGAAGGGCATGTTGTGAATCACATTGTTCTTTACAATGTTGAACATGTATCCAATTGCAACAACATGCTCGTGTAGGATGCCAATCATCTATTACTTTCTCCAGATTCTTCTTGTTCTTCTTGCAACGTGGTGCCATGCACTAAGGCAATGAGTTGACGATTCATATTCTCCCTTGAACAAAATGAAATTATTGACGTAAGTATGTATCTTCTCATAGCTTAGGCTAACAGAGAATAACAACTATTTTGCCTCATACACTTAACTTGGAAACTTGTTAGGCTTTGGTAGTGTTTCTTTTATGATAGAGAGATTTTCTATGAAGCTTGAGTCTCTCCACCTATATCTTGCATTCAAGTTGTAGAATCTTAATATTATAGATAGCATTGTGTATTCACAACCTTCATACAAAGGCATCTCTGCATAACTCTTCAACCTTTCTAACATTTCTGGAAAATCCTTGAGTACCTCTTTCAAGTCATCTTCCAACTCTTTCAACTAGTTAGCCGCATATACACTTATGTCGGAATTAAGGGAATGGCAACTTTCATTGTGTCGTTGGCTACAATTAATTTCATTTAGTGTCTCCCCATGTAGTGTCTAACACATATAACTTTGATCAATTTCAAATTTCGCCAAGTGGTTTTTAAGTTTTTGTGGAGAAGCATGTCTCATAAAATTACACTTTAAACATGGACAAATAATTCTTTCTGAATCTTTGGCATGCTTTCATGCAAACTTAATGAATTCTTGAGCCACATCCCAATATTTTTGAGATGCATACCTAGTAGACATTCATCTCTTATTCATAAGGGGAATCTAGTGTTAATAACTTAGAAAGGAGATGTGATTAGCAACTCAATGCTAATTAGGATAGTTAAAGTAAGAAATAATCAATGTTTGAGTCACATGTTATCACATATTATCCCCCTCTAATTGTAGGATCAACACTACTTCATTGAACATGATTTAAATCATCTACCATTACACTAGAAAAAATTTTAACAGCATAACAATTTAAAATCAAAATACCTCTTTTTATACTATTTTAAAATAAAAATACTTTAAATCTTTGCAAAATAATAATTTAAAAAAATATAGAATGATGGTATAAAAATGAATTTTTCTAGGCATAATAATCTCATGTTTTCTAGAACAAAAACAAAGCAATATCACATCATCATTTTTATAAAATAAAATCAAAGATAGCAACCATTTTTTTAAAAAAAATTAAGGCAAATAGGAAAAAAACATAATCATTGTTCCAAAACCAAGAACTAATTACTTAGAGAACAACCCAATATTAGAAAAAGCAATTAGAAACATCCATAATTCAGAGCAATTCGTTCTATCAATTAACCAACACCATTAAAGTATATACATTGTCTAAAGCAAGTAAATTCAACACACACACACTATATATATATATATATATATATATAAAGAAAGTCTAATAAAACAAGGCTTCAAATGACTAAATATATCACTTTTAATTTATATAAAAAATAAAAGAGAGAAACAGAGATGCATAACAATGGAGCCAGAGAACAAGAATAGTGGCATATGCACGCCATACATAGAAAAAAACCAAAACCCAATAAAAATGATAAAGTAGGGAGATTAGGGAGAGAATCACAAACCTAATGAAAAACAACTTGAAGAAGATGAAAGAAGAAAACCAACGGACTCCCATAGACAATTTTAAAACAATCATTATATAAACATTGGAAAAAAGTTTTAAAAAGAAAAAAAGACTATTCAATCCCATAGACAATTTAACATTTATCTTAGTTGCAATTATATATTCAAATGTGCCCAATTCCACCTCCTCTATGTAACAATTCTAGTAGCAAAATGAAGTTGAAAATTTTTTAAATGGAATTATTTAGCAACTATTTAAAAATAACTGCTAAATAGATCTTAAGTTTAAAAAATTATAAAATAATTATACTATATAACAGTTACCACTATAAAGCTTCCGAGACTATATAGTGGTTGTTATATATATATAACAGTTGTTTTAAAACAATCATTATATAGTATTTGAAAAGAAGTTTTAAAAAGGAAAAAAAAAAGACTATTCAACATTTTTTTCAAATAATCTTTATATAGTCCCATAAACAACTTAACAGTTATCTTAGTTAATAGTTATATATTCAAATGAGCCCAATTCCACTTCCTATGTATAATGGTTTTTTTAGTAACCACTATATAAAGGCACTATATATTGCTTGTTTTTAAGTAGTGTAGAATGAGTTGATTGAAAATAAAATAGATTTAATAAAATGGAATAAAATAAGGTAATACTCCCTTTGATCCAAAATATAAGCATTTTCACTTAGCTAATCTTTATGCAAATATAAGCAACCTATTACATGCAAAAAAAATTTCATTTTA